ATTGTGGAGTGATTGTAAGGGATTTTTCACTTTTATTGGAAAAAATTATTGTCAGACTTGTCTTAGAGCCGAATAAATCCTTTAAAGTGTGTTTTCAATAAAAGTGATCGAATGTGCGTTTGTTTATAATTTCCAAATCTCCACAAGATTTTTGGTAATGGCGTACACCTCAACAAATTGTTATTTTTGGATTTGCAAATAATATGTTTGTTTTTTTTTTCTTTTGAAACGGCAAATAGTATGTTAGGGGGTTAGGGCTATATTTTAGGTGACATTTTTCGTGGCATACTGGCATGACTAATGTATTACTACGTACCATTGTACGTCACGCAATTAATGTTTACAGCCAATATACATGTCATATTGCAGTACAACCTTCTTGCATATACTCAAAAAGTCAAAAGGACGGGATATATATAATTCAAATGTGAAAATAGCGATATCTTTCTTTGCCAATCACATAGAGTAACTTGCCAAGTGAGGAGTGAGGACGATCGATTTCTGTTTAGCTTTGTATGTTGAGGCGGTCAGGCGTTATATCGGTGGTTAGGGTTCAAGGGAGAAGATGTATATGCGACGCATAAGCTTTTTGTCAACACTTATGTTTAAGATATATATGTAATATGTTGATTATACATTTATATAAAAAAATGTTATTTGAAACGATAGATTAGGATGATTTGTTAACAGATACTTTATAGATTATTGGTATGTTCGTAATCGCAACTTTGGGCTATATATCACCGACCCACATTTTGTTTGACTTTCTCCTATCCGTATAGGGTTTGAATTTGAAACACTAATATAATAGTCTTTGTTGAAGTAAACATCTCCTATTTGCCTTTTTCTACGAGATTCTTTCAATATTTTGTCACTAGTGTTTCATATCAGGGTTGCAATCGCACAATCGTAGTAATTATATATTTTGGTACGTAACAGCAAAACATGCGATGCAAAGACGAAGTACGTGTGATAAGTTGGACCGACCACTCTCCCATTACCACATTAATTATCGAATTTACTATCATTTTCCGGTCAAACAGCAGTATTAAATAAAGTCCACACAATTACAAAAATATAAATCCACACAGCTATAAACTACCATTATAAAAGGAACCAATAATTGGAAAAAGAGCAACCACTTATTTCTATTTTGATTTTAACTAGTAAAGCAAGTAACACGACAAAACAAAAAGATAGTTGTTGTTAGCCGGAGAATAAAAAATAATTTAAACAAAGAATTAAGTGAAAACAAAAAAAACTCTTCAAGTATATCAGTTTTGAACAAAGGAAATTTAGTTTAAAGTAGTGTTTTGTAATGACCGGAGAAACATTGCCATCACCGCCAGTCATTGCTTTAAGCATCCAAAGCATAAGCTTTAGGCCACATTATAATTAAGTGGAAAATAAGGTGATATGTCAGATGTTATATTGTTACTCAAATTTCCTTGTCTCGGTTTATTACTTCAGATATTGGTTAAAATAACCATGATTGAAATATCCAAACATTAATTAAACGGAGACAATGAATGACATTTGAAAACTAATCTTCATATGTAAATTCATAATTTTTGTAAGGAAATAAGCGATTCTTAAAATGAAAAAAAAAAGGAAGAAGAAGAATGAGGCCACATTTGGATTTATTTGCTAAAAGCCTCCTTTATATTAGGAGATTGCCATTTTAGTCAAAAGACTTCATGATATACATGAGAACAAATAAATTTAGAGACTTAAATTCATAAAGTCTGGAAGATAAACCGACACATGAGTTTTTTTTCTTAAAATTCACGAGGATCATAACCAAACTCACCGATCAAAAATAATCGTGCGTAATACATCAACTTACCGCATAGCAACACGTGTCGACCTTCAGAAGGTCACCTTCTTACGTAGTTATTCTGCATTTATTTGAACGCCTTGGATTGGATTTTCTTCAAAGACTTTAATTCATTGGATTGGATCTGATCCCAAAATCACATGACATGCAACAAGTTGTTGCCATAAACTACTAAAAAAAGAAAGAAAGATACTTCTATAGTCTATAAATAGACACAACACACAACAAGGCTAATTCATTATTCGTAAACACAAATAACAAAATGAAAATGAAGTTCTGGTCATCAAGACCAACGTTTCTTATCATACTCTGTCTTATCACAATCCCACAAGTCTACTCAACATTATCTCCACCGGAGCATTTCCTCCGATGTCTCGACACTCAGCCGGCCGACCACGGCAGTCCCAACTCCGGAACCGCCGTCATTGCTTCAAACTCAAGTTTCTCCACAAATCTGATGAGCGCCGTCAGAAACCTCCGGTTCGCTTCAGCTTCCACCAGAAAACCGGAGGCCATCGTCGCCGCCGTCACTGAAACCCACATCAGAGCAGCAATCTCCTGCTGCAAACTCCTCAACCTCGAGCTCAGAGTCCGTAGCGGCGGCCACGACTACGAAGGCTTCTCTTACACCTCTCCGGTGCCGTTCGTGATCTTAGACATGTACAACTTCCACAAGATCGACATCAACATGACCGACGAGACCGCGTGGATCCAAGCCGGAGCGTCACTAGGCGAGCTTTACTACAACATTGCAAGCAAAAGCAAAGTCCACGCTTTTCCCGCCGGAGTTTGTCCGAAAGTCGGCGCCGGAGGGCATTTCAGCGGCGGAGGGTTCGGGAATCTCATGAGGAAGTACGGTTTATCGATTGACCATATCATCGACGCGCAAATCATGGACGCGAACGGTAACGTCTACCGCGACAGGCGTTCTATGGGAGAAGACGTGTTTTGGGCGATTCGCGGCGGAGGCGGCGGGAGCTACGGCGTGATTCTTGCGTGGAAGATCAAGCTCATTAGGGTTCCGGAGAAAGTCACCGTTTTTAAGCTGGAGAGAACGGTGAGGGAAGGTGCCGTCGATTTGGTCTATAAATGGCAGCAAGTGGCTCCGGTTATCGACAGAGATTTATTTATCCGGTTAGAGATTAAACCGATTAACCGAAGAACATCAAAAGGGAAGACGATCAAGGTTTCCTTCATCGGAATGTTTCTGGGTTTGCCGGAGAGACTATTAAACCTAACGAACCGGAGTTTCCCTGAGCTACACTTGACGGAACCTGATTGTAAGGTGAAGAAATGGATCGACTCGACGGTTTTCTGGGCGAATTACCCAGAAAAGGCACCGATCGAGCTTCTTCTCAAAAGAATCTCGACGAACGAATACTACTGGAAACGAACTTCCGATTTCGTTCAAACTCCGATTTCAAAACAGGGCCTCGCGACGATTTTCCAGACGATGATCGACCACTCGCCGCTTCCACGGCGAGTTTGGATGCAGTGGAATCCGTGGGGAGGGAAGATGGCGGAGATTGCCTCCGATGCGACGCCGTTTGTGCACAGAGCTGGTAACATCTTCATGATTGAGCATTTCATGAATTGGTATAGCCCTGGAGATGAGCTCGAGGAGCGTTTCTTGGCGATCGCGAGAAGCTTCAAGAAAGCGATGGCTCCGTTTGTTTCGAAGAATCCGAGAGAGGCTTTCTTTAACTACAGAGACGTCGACATCGGAGTCACGGCGCCGGGATACAACGCGACGTACGAAGGAGCTAAGGTTTATGGGAACTCGTATTTCAAAGGGAATTACTTGAGATTGGTTAAGGTTAAGGCCCGGTTCGACCGGACTAACTTTTTCCGGTCTCAGCAAGGGATTCCCGTTCTTGCTTAGTTGGTGGTGATTTGGTTGTTGACTTGTGTTGGATTTGATTGTACTGTGGGGACCAGGGATAAATCCTTTTGGATTAGATGAATGTGTTTTTGTTGTTGCTTGGGATGTACGATTAATAATTTGTTTTAAATAAAGGTTCATTCCATCTCTTAATTTCAAACTACAATAAATGAAAATAATTTCTTTTGTTAATATGCAAAATGCAAATCCCTAGTGATGGGTTCAGCGATATACACAAAATTTTCAGCCAATTGATCTAAAATTGTGGTTATTAACGTTTTTTTTGTTTATATTCTAAACGAGTGTGTTGACATTTTGGGAGTAGTTTCTATTTTAAGAAAAAACAATATGCCAAAACCTTGGTTTACCGTACGCTTTATATATTGTTGTTTTCAAACTCTTAAGAGAATCAATGCTTTTGATCTACAGTATGTGATTTTTGTGCTAATCTCTAATACGTAACTTTTTTTTCAAGGAAAAATAAAACTAATATTTGCTTTTCCTAATATGAACAAAGTCATTGGTCCATTGCAAAAAGTGTATTTAAGAAGCCTTGGCACGGAGTCACAGTGGAACACATGATTGGAATTAAATATTGAAAAAAATGTATGAAAGCTTGAACAAGACATGGGTTGAGTTGTTTGCAATAATTGTAATGGGTCCTATAGATTTCATCAACTATGTTTAACAATGATGTCGACTTCGAGTGGTCCGACTTTGTGATATGGTTAGTTACAATTTATAGTACAATATTATACACGTGGGGAAATTTTCAAGACTTTCTCACCACAGTTTGAAGATAACTCTGCAAATCAAATTATTCAAATAGCTGAGATTTTCTAGTTTAATCGACAAAATAACTAGCCAATCACGGTCGATATATTACTTACTAAACCGTAGATACCGGATTTTTAGAAAACAGGGTTTCACTATCATATGGAAGCATAGGGTTTGCTTACTGTCATACTTGGGTCGTGTATAGATCTCTTTTTAATTTTACTCATAATGTATCCATCAGAACCGTGCTATAGTTTTTAGAAATATGAAACAAAATTTGTGGCTCTATTTAATAGAATGTCATAGAAAAATACCAATGATTCAGTGAACAAAAATCATGTCCCTTAATCAAATAAAATTATAATATGAAGAACAGAATTCTAGTTTTTTTTTGTTACGAGAGTTCTAAGCTCTAACAAACAGTTTTTAATCTCATACCAAAGTTATGAGTTTGGCGCAAACCTCCATCATCCATTTATGAACCTCAAGAACTCCTTATTGGTTGTTTATTCCTCAGATTAACGCATAAAAAATGGTCGAAACCATAAAACCACAGCCAAGTTCATAATCCGCACAACATCAAATTCAAGCACAACGAGCTAAACACTAAACATGAAACATTCAACAACATCAAACTCAATCACAACAAAATAAACCATGAGAATAAAAAATACAGTTCTACCAAGGATTATAGGCAGGAGAAGTGGGATTATACGTAGGAGAAGTGGGACAATAGTGTCCATCATCTCTCTCATAAAAGGGTTCTTTCTCTTTCTTATTGGAGGCTCTTATCTTTCGTTTTAGATAATGCAGCTTACATTCATCTGGAATTGCGTAGAATATGCCTCGTGAAACCTCGTCTTTCGCAAGGAGTTCTATAGATTCCCAGTAAAGAGGGCTCCTAAGAACCATCCTCTCAACCTCCCCCACTCGTTTAACGACAATGGCGATTTGATCTTCAATCGTTGGTTGGGATCCATAACTTTGATTACTTGCATTAGTCACTGCGCTAGATTTAGATGCCATGTTTGATACAAGATCTGCATGTTTTATTAAAATAGGAAAATAGCGGCTTACAAAGCATCCAGACTATATCATAATCTTTTTTTTTAACATATCATCCAGTCAAACATAGATCAGCCTTTTTTAACCGAGTCAATGAACAATCCAGAGAAGTAACAAAGAAACCAGGACACACCATTTAAATAAATAAAAAATTTGAACTTAGGGAGAGAACGAAAACAAACCTGAACATACAGATCTCAGAGAAAAGCAGCGAGGAAGTGAACAGCACTGCAAGAAGTGAATGTATTGATATAGTGAAAGCTTGAGCGAGTTAACAGTTAATGTTTTCGAAAATTAGAATTCGAAAAGACGTCATGCGTTCATCGGAAAACGTATACCGAATGCTTAGGCCAATCACAAATTCCGTTTACCTTTTTTGTTTCGTTAAATTTATTCAAACAAAAAAAACTGTTTACATCTAGTGCGTCATTAAAAAATGTGTCCCTCAATAAGATAAAATCTATAACTCCATCGGTAGAACTGAATTAGTTTATGTACAAGATTTTGTTAAATTTTAACTAACAGATTTTGAATTAATCCCAAAATTATGAGTTTGTTTCACGCAGACCTCAATGTATATACGTCCCTTTTTCTTAATTAATGCTTCTTATTTGCAATATATACTTCAAAAATGAGTAGAAGCGAGAAATAATATGTGACTCACGGACAACATGTGAAGTTAGTCTAGATAAATATTGGCATAAATGTAGCTGTAAATTTGTTGCGTGCCATGTATATAGATATTCTTCAGTCCAAGCTATAGGGAATTTTCAAATTCTTGTTTCGATTCTGGAAAAGAAATGGGGGAAAAGGATGTGGAGAAGCAGAAATAAAGGTGTGGATGAGTCAGGAGGCTAATAAGTTCAATAACATGTGCGGATGAATAGTATTTACAACTTATCAGTTATCATTCTCTTCTTTAATAGATTAAAAGTTAAGTATGAGTATTCAATTACGGTTGATTTCATTAGAAAAACAAAGAAAAAAAATACAAGAGTGAGTTGTTGTCAAAAAAAAAAAAAAATACAAGAGTGAACAAAGGTCATGGGTATATGATTGGAATTCAATCTCCTTGAGCTAGCGAATCGATAAGAACATATTGAAATATATAGATCATATGTTTTGGTTTTTGTTGTGATATTAAAGCTCTGCAATACGTTCCTCACCTAACATGAACACAGTAGTGGACAGTGGACACAAATGCATCTTAAGTTCATTACTATGACCATTATTCATAAAATTTCACATGGCATCGCACTTTTTTGTGCAAAGAAAAGGAAAATATCTTGAAACCAAAAACAATACGTAAAAGAAAGTACAACCACGCTGCAACATAACCACAGCTGAGATGTGAAAAAATAAACCAAAACAGAACACAGCCAGAGCCTCGCTGAATCAAAATAGATCGTTCTTGCATGTCCACCCTAGAACAAATATGTATATCATCACAAAATATACCAAAAAGAAAAAAACTTATATAGAAATCACAATACATTTCATGTTACATTAGACCAAACCCAAGTTCATGATCCATATACAACATCAAATTTAAGCACAAGATAAAGCCAAGCACAAGAAAACAAGGCTCTTAACATAATAAAACCATAATTTTATAGGCCATATATCAAAAGTGTTGAAACTCTGGGACCATGGAAGCGTTTGTCTTTCTTTTTAGATAATGCAGCTTAGATCCATCTGGAAGTGCATAGAATATGCCTCGTGAAACCTCATCTCTTGCAAGGAGTTCTATAGATTCCCAGTAGAGAGGGCTCCAAAAAACCATCCCATGAACCTCGTCTAATTTCTTCACTATAATTGCTATTTCCTCATTCAGTGAGCTAGGCTTAGATCCCATGTCGTGGTACAGAATCTGAAGGTTTATCAAAAACAGAAGACTCAAACAGAGTACACAACATAGTCAACACACAGATCAGCTTGTTTGAACCATGTCAACGAACAATCCAGCTCAGATTTTAACATCATTTTATCCCAAAAAAAAGAAGGTCAAGCGCATCTAACCATAGAAACTAAAGAAAAAAAGTAAAAGAGGAGACAAACAAAATCCTGTTGAATCAAAATTCGAACTAAGGGATAGAGCCAAAGCTAACCAGAACAAACAGATCTCAGAGAGAAGCAGCGAGGAAGAGAAGAGCGCCACAAAAAGTGAATCTTCAGATGCGATCAATGTGTAGTTTAACATTAATTAATTACGTTAATTGAGCCCACCATAGGAATTGAAATCGGCCCGCTAATAACCGGTTCACTTAAGTGATTCGTGCAAAGATAATTATATCGATTCTTAACAAGACTGCACAACAGACAAGCCTCATTACGACGATCGTTATTGTGCAATAAACGAATGGCAATGTCTCTTCCACTGCAAGTTTGTTTATCTCTCTTTCAACCTAAAGGTTACGTGGATATTAAGCAAAACGTGTGAGATCTTTCGAAAGTAAAAAATCAGAAGTTACTGAGTTAATCATGACAGAACTATAATAATCTCTCATGCTTTCTCATTGTCATCAAGTCAAGCCCTACCTGACAAAGAGAGATACCGGTACTTGCAACCCACAATAACAATCTGCCACATAAAAGAAAATGTAAAATAAGCTAAGTATCAGGACACACTCAAGTATGTATGTTCCTCCATAGGAATCAGATACCCTCTGAAATCATTCTTGCATCAAAATAATCAAAAGCTGAAGCACTAATACACACACACACAAAATCACTCACATAGTCACATATATAATCTCACACTTGAGTTTTTTTTTTTTTATTCAGTAACTCTTTCGTCGTCTTTGTCCAAGGATTCCAGAAGAGTTTCTCTTATTTTCCCTCTGTTTTTTTTTTTTATCATTTTCGGTTAGAAAATTGGGATTTGAAGGAATTTAATCATGGGCTATGTATCCCATTCAACGGCCCGTTTATATATAAGCCCATGTTACTTAGGGGTTAGTAAACTTGGCGGCAAAGTAAAAACTGAGGCACGTGGAACCACGAAACCTGCTTTACCCGCCAAAGTCGCCGTCTTTTACCAAGTCCACAAGGGGAAAATAAAAAAAAATTAAAAATGTTAATTGTAATTACTTAATGAATTTATTTAGGAAAATGCAGGATTAGAAAGAATAAAAAGACGAGAAGATGCAGTTATTGAGTGAAAAAGACTAAAAGTAACCGTAATCAGAGTAAATATAGGGTGATTAATTAATTATTATTCCAATTAATTGATACGCATTAAATATAAATAGCCGCCAAAAAATAAAACTTAATAGTGACGGTTACTCTTATACTCATTTGGTACCAAACCATGCTTATAAGTTACAATTAGAGGCTCAATTTATACCAAAAAATTAATAAAAATAGGGATAACATAAAAAATAAATAGTGATAGAGGCTCAATTTTCATAATAAATCTATACTAATACTCAATGCATATTAATAATTTTATAAGAAAAATAAATATAGTATTTATGTATTATACAAGTATGCATGGTCTTTTCAAATGTCTAATTTTTCAGCTATTTGACACTTATTTTACACGTCTGACTGATAATAATAATAAAAAACAAATATGTTAATTATATATATTTTTGATGTGGAAACTGAATAAAAATGTTTTATTAATAAGAAATGAATTATATGCCCTTATAAGTAGGAAGGTTCGTTACAAAAAGATCTAAAACCCAGAGTAACTCCTCCTTTATTTTCGCTCTAAAACCCTAATCTCTTTCTCTCTCATATATATCTACGAAAACCGAGACAGTTAAGGAGTAAACCGATGTCTACTTGAATTATACAACAAAAGACACGACATTATCCTCTCTATCTCCAGGTCTTTTGATTCTCTCATATATCCTCTCTTGTCTTGTCTTTTATTTATTTTTTGGTTTAATTTGCTTTTATTAGTCTAATCTAGAAGCTCGTCACTGGTAATCAAAGCTTAGTTAAGCTTAACCATGATTTAACATACTTCGTAACTCCCACTGATTGCTTCATATTCTTCTTTACCTTTCTACAGGTTTCATCTCCTCAAATGTCGTCCATGGATTGCTTAAGCCACTTCTTTAACTGGGATCCTCCTATTCAGCTCCAGGATTGCTTCATTCCCGATGTGGTGGATACGATTCTCCCAGAAACCGACAGTTTCTTCTTCCAATCTCAACGGCAACTGCAATCTCATCAGCCATTGTTTCAAGAAGAAGCTCCTTCACAGACCCTTTTTGAGCTCAATCACTTAGACTATTTCTGCGACCAATTTCTTCCTCCCCAAGAATTCTGTTCCCCTTACCCTAAAACTGAAATCTTCGACGAAACACACGACCTGGATTACCTTCTCCCCGCGCCAAAACGTCAGAAACTCGTTAACTCGAGCTACCATTGTAACACTAACAACCACTTCTCAAGCTATAACCCGAATCTCCTAAACCCTTACGGTGACCTAATTAATTTAGCTCCAGAAGCTTCTATCTTCCCGGACTTCCGAGTTCCGGATTTTTCCATAGCGTTCAAGGTAGGCCGAGGAGATCAAGATAACACCAAGAAACCTACGCTTTCATCTCAGAGCATGGCGGCTCGAGAGAGGAGAAGAAAAATTGCGGAGAAGACTCACGAGCTCGCAAAAATCATCCCCGGTGGCCAGAAACTAAACACTGCCGAGATGTTCCAATCCGCCGCTAAGTATGTCAGGTTCTTGCAGAGTCAAGTTGGGGTTCTCCAAATGATGCAGACCACAAAGAAGGTAATAACAAAACCCAATCATAACTCTATAATCTAATGGCAACCGTAGTCCTGTTTTCTCATGTACTGGTTAATTTGCAGACGCAGGGTAGCAGTAATGTAGAAATGGAAACTCGGGTTTTGCTTGAATCGCAAGCAATCCAGGAGAAGCTAGCAACGGAGGAACTGTGTTTGGTTCCGTGTGAAATGATTCAAGATCTAACAACTGAAGAATCTGTTTGGAGAAACCCTGAGATTTCTCGAGAGATCAACAAGTTACTGTCTACAGATCTGGCTAACTAGTTTTAGTTTCCAAGCCTGAAGCTCTCAATGCCTAAGTTTGTGTCTGTTCTTGCTAATTTGTGTTCTTAGATAGCGTTTTGTATTGTTGATGTAGTAGCTAATTATCCTGGTTAATCTCCTCTTAACCGGAGAACTAATACTTTGCTTGTAGTATTAGTTTATGTATTAGCTATCGTCTGACTTTTTGTGGTTATTTACATGACGTATGTCCGCATGTTGAAACTTATTTACATTAAGCTTTTGCCAATAACCATTGTGGGGCTTTATTGCTTTGTGGGTCTTACAAATTTAAAGCCCGAACAATCAGACTAAACGAACTCTCCGATCCACGATCGGGAAGGGCCGTTGAGTGATTGATGCCTTGATTTTTGGGATTTTCTAATCTAGGAGTACTATTTATAATTGATAATGGCTTTAACTATCGTCAAAACAAAAATTAAGTTTGGAATTGAGTTACGATTTACTTACTACTAGTCTACTAGTATTCAAGTTTGAATACGAATTGTCGTATTAAAACTGTACATATTTATATAGTTTATATCGTACTATATATATATATATATATATAAACAGGCAATTTTTGGTACAATATCATTTTTGTCCTTACATATACAAAAAAAAACAGTCTCAAACTTCCAAATACATAAAACACAGAAGCAGATGACTGAGATGAACAGGGTTAATTTCTGGTAAAGCTAAAAAAACAAATGTGATGTGTATACTTTTAGTGGAGGAATATATCGTTAGGGTCTCATTAAAGAGAAGTCATCATTATTTTACGAATAAAAATATCATCAATATATGCATACATCAATCTTTTCCTACTACTTTATTTCTTCCCCATAGTTTTTTAATATAGCTATTCATAATTTTATATTAGTCTTATACAATTATAGTAATTACTTCTAAACCGTCATTATCACAGGCTTATTCTCCTTTTTAGGATTTAAGGATTTAACGAAGCTCGTCTATAAAGCTATCGATGGGACTTACCACTATATTTTATCATATTATTGTTTATAAAAAATATATATCCGAATGATGTCCAATAATCATTACCCAAATAAAAATAAAAGTAAACATTTTCGTTAATCTCAAAGAAGGTGTCGCCAAATAGTAGCACCCATGAACCTATTTGCCCACTCAATCTTTGTCCAAGTTCATATTGGCCTCTCATTCTCTATATGTCCCATCGTTAGATAATAATAAAAACCACACAAAAGTAACATTATGATAATTAAACGTCTAATATTCGACTGTTCTTTTTCTCCAGCCTCTCATCATATCAAAACACTTTTTTATAATAGAAAAATAACATAAAATAATAAGTTGTGATACAACTTTTCTTTCTATCAATCAGAGTCCGATGGATTTGACAAAACTTAAGGTCACTATTTCCAGAATATTTGTGATCAAAAGTTGAGATCCCACACACTCTCATAAATTTTTACTCTTTTTATAATTATTTAAATTAAAAAAATGTGTGTCAGTCTGTTTTCTCTTGGGAAAAATGTCATTAAATTTTTTTTTTCTACAACACATGACATGATATCACGGTAAAGAAACGACACATGAATTCAGTTAACGGTAAACGCTAGCCGTAATAATCAGCTTTCAAGATTGTGAAGAGGAAGAAACAAAGTGGACAGTGTATAGAATTTTTTAAAAAAACTAAAATAACAATTCACGTTAAAGCCCGATATGTAAGTTAAGACGCCTCTGCTTATAAATAAATAAAAAGGTTAAACCGGCTCTTAAACAATGCAGGTTAAATTCTCAAATAATATATACAAACTTCATAGCAGTCAGTCAATCAGTCACAATTCACAAGTCAGGCTGAATGAAGACATTATAATTATATGAAAGTCTGAAACTAATAAGTAATTATTATGGGATTCTCACTCCAATAAAAAACTATTATTATGGGATTCTCATTTAGTTTGGTCCGGAAGAAAAGCCATGAAACTAGGGTTTTCTTCCTGGTTTCCGAGATCATCCACATGGATGGTCAGAAAGGGAAATTATTCTCACCATCATAAACTGTTTTCATAAATTATATGCATCTATACTATATTTTTGATCATATTATAGGGTTACGTAGCTTGCATAGCTCTAATCATGACGACATATCTATATTCGTGAAATACATATTTGAATTGAATGTTCATTCCCATACATATCCCAACCTATGACTACTAAAGAAAAGAAAGAGTAAAGTAAACATGTGGAAACTCTACGTTAATAGGGAAAGGTAAGAAAATCATTTAAATTTTATACTAAAATTAAAAAATGATTTGGTAGTTTATAAATTAACAAAATCGTTTAGAATTGTAATCTTAATTTTTTTTTAAGTTCTAAACTCGAAACCTTACAAGTAGATTATGAACTGCAAACCCATACCCGTAAGACATAAATTATTAACTTCAAATTCTAAACAAAATAGTTTATTTTTTAATGATGGATGGGAATAATTTGTAAAAAAAATTTGTACGTGGTGTCATGTGTATGGTAAACGTTGTAAATGATAAGAAAATCTGATTTTTCACAGGCTCTATACTGTAGTTAGTCTATATTTTGGCCTGAAATCTTCCCCTTCAAAAGAAGTACTATATAGTTTTGATCATCTTTTTTGTTGGTCAAACATAGTTTTAATCATCTAATTTTGTTTTTTAATTACAGAATAGATCCCATTAAAATAAAAAATGTATCTTAAATGACGAGCTTACCCTCATCAACTACAGACGCCGGTGAAATACGCTAGGGCTAATGCCGTCACTTAAGTCAACCGGATATACATAAATAATTTAATTTCTATGTATTTTATATATCAGAATATTTATAACGACCTTGAGTCGTCGTCGTCAAAGAAATCGCTAAAAACATCCGGAATATTCGTTTTGTTCTCCAGGTTGCTATCCCCGGAGAATCCTTGAGAGAGCAGCATAGTCAGTGAATCATCCTCAAGCTCGTCGAGATCGGCGAAGAAGTCCTCCGGCTGATGTTGAAACTCCGGCCTATAGGTATCGTCAACGTCATAATTGAACTCCATCTTGTCTTGACGCTCATCCAGGTCCTCTTCCTTAACCGCGGCGGCCGCATGAGGAGTGGAGGAGGAAGGCGAGTGGCACTTAGTGGATTCGTCTTTGTTTTGGAGGACTCTAGACGAGGCAGAAGTAGTTGCGGTTGCGATTGAGGGTTTGGAAGAAGGGTTTGAAGATGAGGATGAAGAGGAACGAGTGGAGCCGGCGAGAGCGTTCCGCTGAGTGGGCCAAGGATGGTTATGCTCAGATGTGTAAGTAATGACTAACATGTTTGGATCGGTGCGGCTACGTTCCACTTGTTTCCTAGCTGAGCAACCTTTCGAGCTGCTACATCTGTAGTAACCCCTGAGGAACAAATTCATCATTCAAGTAACCATCAAAGACTTAATTAACCATAGTCTTATTAATATGCATCACTTAATTTGTTATATAAATGTTAACATGTATGGAGTATATAAGTATATTGTACGTGCACCTTTTTTTTCTTGATAAAATTCTCTTTTCTAATTAAACACGAGTAACAAATAAGAAGTAACAATCCATTTGATCACTTGCGCACAATTTATCGAAGAATAACAGAAAATCTAAATGATATCCTAACTTTTCAGTTGGAATATTGTGATTATAAGATAAGTTTGCATCAAATGTCACATTAAGGAATTAAAAGGCTTAATATGCGCCGTAGAAATTTGAATGAACTTTATACTTTATAGTTCCATGCTAATGATTGCACCTGCAATATTGTTTGTGAAGGGAAAAGCAAAGCTTTAGATGCTAATTAAAGTGTTTTTTTCAATGGTCAATAAAATTCAAGCTTTTTGTTTCTGAAGAAAATTCACTTTATCATATATTGGTTTGTATTAAAAGAATAGTGATTTTCAAGTTGCTACGAAACTTTGCTATTGAAAGAACATACTTATTCTATCTTTGTTTTTGGTCAAATATACTGATTATATCTATATATATCATTTTTATAACTAATGTGTATGATATATATGTAAATGTACCTGGGATAAGGGGAACCCTTGATGGGTTTTTGACCGTATTTTCGCCAAGCCCATAGATCAGACGGAACAACTTCCCCACTGGACCGGCTGTTCATGGCGGCTGGAGCCGGTATGCAGACTACTTTCTTTACCTGGCTCTTCCTGCGTATCCATTGTCAATTTTTATGCTGAGACTTGAGACTTGAGACCCATGTCTACATATGTATTTGTTTTAAAGTAAGTGTATTTATGTTCGGTTTTAAGATATGATGGCATCGTAGTTAACATTCATTGTTTGCTTATGATGTTTACACTTCATACATTTAGACTAATGCGCATACCCTTTTCTCGAAATCATTTACGTAAAATGAAAGATTGTTGAAAAATAGAACGGAAACAAAAGGAAAAGAAGAATGCTAACAAAAGCAATCAGAATTAAAAATTTAAACACAAATAAATAAAAAAGACGAATCCAAGATTTCCGAAAACTTTCATGTAAAGGGTTTCATATGTACATACACAAAAACAAAACCCTAGTTCAGTTTGTTTCTTATAGCAGATCTTATTTCTCAAAAAAGATAAAATCATGAAAACTAATTTGGTGATTAGCACAATCTAGTTTTCAAATATGAGAATATGAAAAATGGTATTCAATTAGTGATAATTTTGAAAACAAAAAGAATTAATCACATGGTGATATTATATTTGTTTTCGTAACATTAAATGATCTCGTTTAATCAAGACGAGATCATGGAGATCGCATTTTAAATTTTGAATAAATTTACCTCCTCTTTATGCCAAGATTCCTTGGAGAAGAAGAGATCTGAATCTGTGCAGAAGATGACTTGTTATTATTATCGACCAATAAACCGTTTCTTGGACTGTTAGTGGTATCAACGTTGATCATCCCCCAAGGGGAAGCTACTGCGACGGCCGGAGAATTACACGTGGAGGCGTCGTGGATGATGTTTCTTTGCGAGATCCGAATTCTTGGGAAGTCACTGCATTGATTCTTGATATGATCATCCTCAAAAGTCTTTGGAAAGACTGCAAAACTGTTGTTACTTTTGTTATTTCCGTCGCCGGAGAAGTAGCCGGAGTTGGCCGTGAGGTGGAGGAGAGGATCTGTCATGCTTACGAACGGGTCGCCAAAGGGATTTGTCTGGCAGCTGGCGACGGTGGGGAAATCCACGTGGAGATCTGAAATTGGCGGCGGAGACGAACTGCTCGGAGATGGACCTTCCGGTGGCCCCGGAGAGGATGACATGAGTCCTGATGATCCGACTCCTCGTACTACGTCTGTTAAGTCTCCTTGGAAGTTGTCCATGTCTAAAGACTCAAAGACGCTGCACATAATATATATGTATGAATGATGCGCGTGTATGTGTGTGTGTGTTTATATATGATATCTATACACAGTGACAAAATTGGCAAATCCCAAACCAACAAAAAAAGAATTATGAAAAGAATGATTGGGTTTCCGGGAGAGAAGTAGAAGTCTGATTATAATTAGTCTCGATCGTTTTGTGGATTATTCGGAAAAAAAGTGATCAGTGATGTTGGATTATTTTCCTGGGAATAATTGCATTTTTTGGAAGAAAAATATGAACATGTAAAAGAACAAGAATAAGAAGAATGGTTGATGAAACGAGAGAGAGAGAGAGAGAGAGAGAGAGAGAGAGAGAGAGAGAGAGAGAGAGAGTCCTAACTTTTTAGAATGAAAACATCTTCCACCTGTTCTCCATGAAAGAGAAATTGGAAGATCAGATTTGTACTCTGTATATCTAATGAACTAGTTATAACAATAAATATCTTAAATGTGGTGAATAACATAAGTATATACGGCCAAGTCAAGTACTTTTAATTAGATTATCTATTGAGTTTTTGACCTTCATATATAAAAAGTGGCTTTGTAGTTTGTATTATCTCTTTTCGGGCATACCGTGTAACCGTGTTCAGACTTTCTTTGGTTTGGTTTTCATATTTTCTTTCTTTGACAACTTAATTATGTAATTTAGTAACGACATTAAAATTAAGGTGTATATATTCTTCAAAAACAACAAAATAACAATTTGTATTAATTGTTCCGGAAGATGATTAGACAGTAAATATCTCACTAGCTAGACCATAAATTAATTACTCCCTCGACCGAAGCATCGATATTATATATCTCTGAGTCTTTGACGTGTACTAATAAATTACTGTAGTAACTTTTGGCGGCTATAGTATTGGCTAAATAAAGTTCAAACGAAAAAATCGTACAATCATATTATTAATGAATACTATAGTATTCAACAAGTAATAAAAATATAACGTGAAAGTGCATAATGATTAATGAGATGCTGCACTTGTGAAAAACAAGTGATTGGGAAGTAAAGAGATCGGCAAACAGCCGCATTTCTCGGAGTACGTTTCATCATGATCCAATGTAACGGGGACACGTAAACCTTTTTGAAATACATTTTGCTATTGCCTTTACTACCAAAAGATCAGTTTGTCTGTGTCTTTTATTTGTTAATAACACGAAGACTATATTATGGAATGGGTTATAATTGATTTCATATGCTAATTTACGGCTCATTTGTTTTTTTTTTATTGCTTGTTTCCTTTGTCTAAAATCTGAAGTCTGTAGTAGACTTCAGCTAACAAAAGAACTTATCCGACTGTATTGAATATTGTCCTCAATCAAGTCAACTACCGTTGACTTATGGTTTAGCTGGTCATATCGTAATTAAAAGTAACAACGAGAATAAAAGTTAATCGCTTTTTCATATCAAATTTCTGGATGTGTTTATATAGTAGAATGCAGAGTACTGTTATCAGATAACTAATATATCACGAAGAAATCATTTGCTTGCACATAATTATACGGGGTACTTTTAAAGTCGACGAGGATATCTAGGGTCTAGTAAAAAAATTATGGTTTTTCACAAACCGCATACAATTATTTTTGATGGAATTGTGATTATAAAAAAAATCAGGGTAGTAATTAACCAATCTGAATAGATTAGAGATTCTCTTCGTTTCATAAATTTCACCTAAAGAATAAAATAATAATTATACAAAAATATATTTTGTTTAATGTATCAGCAATTTAGATGATAGTGACTTAAATTCGAAGAATGCAAGTTAATTATGAGCGAATAGTTAAATGAAAACTTTATCAAACTTCATCTAAACAAAATGTAAGATGATATTTTTTGTAAAACAAAAATATTTTCAAAATTACATTTCTTTTTTTTGTAAAAGTGAAGAAATATTAATTAGAATGAATCTTGGGTTAACGGTGGAGATTAAGCCGTACATGTTATTTTTGCATGGATGCATAATCACGTAACATTTAAATGCCACTTTTATATCCTAAAATTTGGTTCCTCACGTAGGCTTCTTCACTCTAGTCTCTGTACCTTGTCACTCTCTCCTTCTATCTATAACATGAAACTAACTCCTCCTCCTTCGTTCTTCCACATATCTGGCCACCTTCCTCCATTGTGGTAAGCCTTTTCCATATATAATTTCCGATTTAGTGCTTCTGCTTCCATGCATGTTTCCGAGTATAAGACAATCTAAACGGATTCATAACTCTCTAATAATTTATAAATGCTTTATCTTCTGACTAAAGTTTTTTTTTGAACTTTCTGACTAAATTTTCTTACGAAAACATTTTTAAAACAAAACTAAGAACCTCCTTATAATGGGGACTTTCGAAGTTCGAACGCTTCACTTCCAGTCTTCCCAAGGGTATTAATAATTATAAAGTCGGCCTTGGTTGTGAACAATAACACAAAATACACTTTTGTAAACTCACCCACTGCGTCACGGTATTCTGTTTGTAAAATAAATGTAACTGTTTATAAGAATTCAATATATAATCTTAAACAAATGTAGAATTGTTTACATCACAAGACATTTGATGTAAGTGGCCAATACTGTTAAAAGAACGACTCTTCATCATACGTATACGAACAATTGAACAGATAATTTATAACTATATATACAAATGTCAGTTGGTTTCTAATAAAAAGAGAAACAAATAAAAACTGTTCAAAAAAAAACAAAAAACAAAAAACAAATAAAAACTCAGTTGGTGTGTATAGGTTTTGGCTGTAGATTGATTTAATATTGTTGCCAACTAATTATATGTTTGCCGTGATCTCATTCTAGATTTGCCATAGTGTCGCCAACTATATTATATATATATATATATCTTTATACTATTTACACCAATTTTCATAATAATTATGAACATACAATTTTTGGCGATCACATATATTTGAATTTCCATGTATTGTTTGTACGATTAATAAACTAAAAAATAAGGGTTGCATCATTCATGGGTAATAAATTCCTCACATGGTATCGGCATGTGTTCTTATGCATGTTGGATTTAATTAAATTATTTGTTTATATGTAATCTAAACGCATAATTATTTTGGAATTAATGCCAATACTGTATAATCTCACCTACTTGAGTTATTTTTTTTTGTTATAGCTGGTTTATTAACACAGTTTTTTGTTACTTAAATTACATACAATATTTTTCAAACTTGCTAGAACTTTATTGGTCAAATTAAAAAACGCATTTCTCGGCGGTTTAAGATAGACTAATTGTCCTTGTGGACGTCAATCCGAACATAATTTTTTCCTAAAACAGACTTTAAAAAAATTCATCCATACACAAAACAAAGCTTAAAATGCTCAGACAACGCTTAGTGATTCTTAGAAGATTTTTGTAGAACACGCAATATATAGTGTAACGTTTGTTTACAAACTCTTAACGAAAATGATTTTTTTTTGAACATTATATATAGAAAACGAAATTACATTTCATTTCTTAAGAGGATCAGAAAAGGTATGGAAATGCCTACATTTTGGGATATGAATAAATTGGTCGGCTTCATGACAAACACATAGTTCCACGTTCGTGCATTACACCCTCATCACTACTTTTAACTATCCCACATATTATTATTCTTCGTTTTTGTTTTCCTTTTTAACATTATTTTCTTCGCGCATAATGGACATTTACAATACAAGGTAAAATTTACCATCAAAATGTTCTAATTCTATTAAGACAGTATTGTGAAATTTCATATATATTGAATGATTAAAATTATTTATTTTATATAGACATGTGTTTTTTAAAAACAAAATATATAAATGTGGTTGTAATTCTGATTATGATATATATTATACTATTGTTTTTAAGACTTGTATTTCATTTTAATGCTGTTAAAATCTTTCTACCTCTATTAAAACCATGATGTGGTCGTGTCAATACTGCTAAAAATGTATATTATGATACTCTAGTATTTTAAAAAAAATATATACTAGTATTTTACTATTTTGGAACCGACTCGTACCATAAATCGTTCCTTTGCTATTTCGTGAGCCGCTGATATCAGTACCACAATTATCATATTTGTTGATATTCGGTTCATCTCTACAAATATGTAGTTACCGCTTCCCGACCCTTTTGCTTGCGTTAGATATTTTCCCCGTAAGATAAAAAGCAATCACGACCCATATGAAGCAGGCCTTTTCCTCTAGTGGCACGCAAAGTCATTTTATTATGAAAGGATAGGGACTTTAAGTATAGTTTATTACAATAAGTAGATCAGACGGTGGAATAAGTGAAAAAAAAAGAGACAAATTAAGTCATGCCTCCCTCGTTCTACGGTGACGCATGTTGAAATGATTCAATAATAGCAACAGTTATAATAAATCTATTGAAAACAAAATAAGAAATTATATACTGACAAAGAAAGACAAACATAGAATTTGATTGGTAACCACGAAAACATGTGCTTTAGATTGTAAACGTTTCTTTACATATACTAATGTTTTAAACCAGGGGCGGATCTAGAATTATTTCCTATAGAGAGCATGCTACAGAAAAAATAAACAATAACAGGGACATAAAATTTATTCAAGTTAAAATAATACTAAACAAAAGAAATTCATCCGGGGCAACTGCCCCTGTATTATCAATGTGACTCCGCCTCTGTTTTAAACCAGCATTTGAAATATATGATTTAATGTATTATAAACATATGTTTTGTGAAACTTGTGAAATAATTTATTTGTTTCATATATTTATGGTTTAGCAGTGGTTAAAATTGCCTATGCGACTGAGTGATTTTGGAGGTTAGCAAACTTTTTAGTAGTAAGTGTTTTTGTTTTACTGCAGATCCATCATGAATAAAGCATTTAGGTTAAAGCTTAAGTGACGCACACAGTCACACTCGCAGTTTGCATACGCTAGAACTAAACCAAGGTTATAGTGAGTTTATCTTCCTAGTCCTTAATTCAATGCCACTATACCACAACACAGGGTTTTCATCAACTTTTTATATTTTCAAGATGTATAATTGTATTTTTCATCAGTATTAACATTTTAAAATTTTAAACTCTGTACTGTCGTAGTTGGTGATATATAGGGGAAAATTCATTCCATGATTAATGACTATAATTCGTGATAAACTATAGTATTGATTTATGGTATTGGGTTGTGTAGCACGTGGGCTTCTTTGAATATTTGATATGAGTAGTACTGACTTTACGTAAAATCGACCATGCACTTTAAGTGTTTCCCAAGTTCATAGAAAAAGACAAATAGACAATAGTCACCCTCTAATTATTGTGAACTATGTAAATTTAGTTGTATATATATGTTAAATTATAAATTTTAATTTTATTTATACGTAGTGATGATGATATGAAAACCGACTTATTTAATACAAACTAGGTGATCGGCTTGCATTGTGTGTAAACTATAAAATATCTAATATATTTAATTATTATTAGTATAATATTTAAAATATTTTATATGTATATAATTAATTATTTATTAATAATAAAAAAATGAAAAATGAAATATAAAATGTTAAAGATTTCAAAAGAAATTGAAGATAAAAAATATTAACTAAAATTTTAACATATTTTTTTAGATCAAAAAATATAAATATGATAACTAAATAAATAAGAAAACATGAAAATCTATAATTATTTATTTAATTTTTATTTTTGGCACGTATATATGTGCCTATATAATTTTTCTAGACATAATTAGTTGTAATATTTAAGTATTGATTAAGTTTCTTATACTTTATGTAAATATTATGTTTATATACATATACAATTTTAGTGTTCAACAACAATGACACAAACATTTCCTATCTTTTTGTGTCTTTTGAAATTTTTTATTTTTTCTAGCGTTTATATTAACAAATAATTACAAATATAAAAGTTATATTAAAAAATAATTAAAATTTTATAATATGTTTTGAATATTATCTATACTATATTTTCTTTTTTTCCTTACACAATATAATCTTGCCAATTATATTAAGTATTTTTTTCCTTGACCTCTTGCTAATTAAACCAAAATGAATTTTACCATATTTATTTATCCTAAGAGCGGGTAGATGGTTGGTCTGCACATTCGTGCGAACCAACCAGCTCACTGCTTTTATGACATATAAAGATTTTTAAGAAAAGATAAATTGTCTAACAACTAAAATTAAAATTAGAGTGTAATTGAGGTTAACAAAATGTATGCACGAAAATTTTGCATGCAAGTTTGACTTTTACACAATTAATATTTATATCTATACGTATATTTGTAAAAAAATCAAAGTATAGATTTTATGTGTTAAAAGAAAATAACAAAGTATATGTTTTATTATACATATTTTTATAACGTATGGTTGATTTTTTTTTTATAAATAATAAGTATATTTATGTATTTAGGTATGAGTTAGAAATAAGTGAATTGTAATATTTAAGTGTTGGTAAGTTTTTTTTATATTTTCCGCAAACGTTATGTTTTTATGCGATGCAATTATTGGCGTTTAACAGCAACCACAAAAATCGTTTCTATTGTTTTGTATTTAATCAAAATTTCTTATTTTTTAGCGTTTTAAAATATATGATTTCTCAATAAAAAAATAATAAATATTTATTATAAAATTTGTGAAATCATATTTTAGCTCTCCACTAATCTCTTCGTCAAAATTTTTAATAATCTGCAATTGCTCGCCTTCACAAACTCTTTGTAACATAATCATTTTAGCCAATCAGATTTAAACCTATTTATGTATGATTTAAGGTGTAAAATAATATATTTAATATTTGATTGTTATATTAAAAATTAAGAGTTGATACAAAATATAATGGATCACAACATATACAAAAAATTTGATTCATGAAATAATGTTTTAATATATTGGATAAAATATATTCATGAAATAATTAATATATGTAAGATAATATTTTTAAGCATTTGAAATAAAAACATAAAATCGATCAAAACTATTCTTATTTTTTCTTCTCTTCTTTGACTCATATTTTTTTAACATTTAAAATATATTTAACATTAAGATCATATCAATTGTATTTTTTTATTTTTTTCTCCAAAATATAAGTGGAATTCTCTCCAACTTATTTCTATTTTATTGAAAAAGAAAGATTATTATTTTTTCTCTATAGTTGAAAAAATAACAACCTTTTCTTTTTTTTTCTCTAAATTATAATATTTAAAATAAAAGTGAGTTAGAGATGTTTTAAATCAAAAATATAACCTGAAATTTGTATATAAAACCAAAGTCATAAAGATTCATTTTACTTTTACTTCTACTTTTTATTCATATATACAATATTATAATAAAAAAATTGGCTAAGAGGATATTTATAATTTATTTTTCTCTTTGTTTATTTTTTTGTTTTATTTATAATTTCAAATTCTTGCTATATAATAAAAATTCATTCACATATGATATAAACTTTTTTCTTATTTAAATATGAGATTTATTTAATTTTAACTTAACCAATCAAAATATTTCATTTATTTTAAGAAATTTGTCATATCACATTTATGATATGACATTGTTTTATACTAATTTTTTATTAGGTATTGACATATATAATTTTTTTAATAAACATGCTTGTCAAATAATAGTTATTATGATAAAAAGTTCAAATTTCTGATCGAAAAAGATTGAAAGATCAAAAGCTCATAACATAAATATTGGGCCATGAATTAAAGAACTTTATCCATTATTTTCCCTCCATGAGGCCCAAATCAGATCTAGGGTGTCCTTTGTACAATTTCAAAGGAAAGGGGTCTTTATGCAAAAAGGAAAGTTTGCTTCAGTTGTTCATTTTCTCTGTGTTCGTTTAGTATTAGACGCGGATCTGTGAGATCTCTACAGGAAGAAGAAGCAAGCAAGCAAGCAAACAAACAATAGCAGCCATGGCAGCAGGACCAGATCGTCTCTTCAACCTGGGAAACAATTTTTATGTGGGAGCTTATCAAACGGCGATCAACAGCAGCGAGATCCCTAACCTCTCGCCGGAGGATGCCGTGGAACGCGACTGCCTCGTCTTCCGCTCTTACATTGCACTCGGTAGCTATCAGGTTTTTCTCTCTACCTCTCCATTCATCTCCATAATTTCTTCTTTTCAAATCGTGTTTCGTTTTGTTTCTAATATTTTATTCCATTTTTTTCTGTTCTAAGCTTGTCATCAGTGAGATCGATGAAGCAGCCGCTACTCCACTACAGGCAGTCAAAGTCCTCGCCATGTATCTATCGAGTCCTGCAAATAAGGTAATTTCGGAACGATCTCTTCGTTTTCGTTTTCAATTCGGCTTTGATTTGTGTTCCGAAAGATGCTTGTAGTCTAATTCTTTAGTTTTCATTTTCATATCGTTTAATTGCTTTGATTCATCATTCATAGCCAATGTATTCATTGTCTTACTCTCGTCGTATATAACTATGAAGCTGAGTAAAATGGTGTGGTCAATATGCTTTTCTGAAGAGATATGAAACTGTGTTCTTGGTCAGGAATCAACCATATCAAGCTTGAAGGAATGGTTGTCAGATTCGACTGTAGGAAACAATGCTACTTTGCGGTTGATTGCTGGTATTATTTTCATGCACGAGGAAGATTATAATGAAGCTCTGAAGCACACTCATGGTGGAGGAACAATGGATCTGTAAGGTTTTTTTTTTCGTTTTTTTCTTTGCTGGATTGACTGAGAGTGATGATTTGTTGTATTCTCATGCTCATAGATTGTTTCATTGCCCCTTGCATTTTTTTGTTAGGCATGCCTTGAGTATCCAAATATTCATTAAGATGCACAGATCAGATTATGCTGAGAAGCAACTTAGAGTGATGCAACAATATGACGAAGACCACACTCTCACTCAACTTGCTAGTGCATGGTTGAACCTGGCACAGGTTATAAATGCGAATAAATTTGTCTTTTTTATTTGTGTGTGTGGCCTTATTGGATAAAGAGACTGTTTTTACTTGTTATTTACTAAAACGTGTTATGATTTCAGGGTTGCTCGAAGATACAGGAAGCTTATCTCATTTTCCAGGATTTCTGTGAGAAGTACCCAATGACATGCTTGATCTTGAATGGCAAAGCAGTTTGCTGTATGCAAATGGGTAACTTTGATGAAGCTGAGACGCTACTTCTTGAAGCACTCAACAAGGTAACTCAATTTGTTCTGAACATACGGATTCTCAGGAATCATATGTAACTAGACGGGTCGCTGACTTCTCACACTGCACTCGCTTTCTTGGCTTTTCTGTATATGGGCAAGTGTTTTATACCACTCTGTGGTGATTGCAGGATGCTAAAGATCCAGAAACTCTTGCGAACCTTGTCGTCTGCAGTCTTCATGTTGGCAAATCATCTTCACGTTACTTTAGGTAAAATTATATCACATACTTAGGTGAGAGTAATGGTGTCCTTTCACTTGTTGGGTCCATTTATGGTATCTCCTATCAATTTTGCAGTCAGCTGAAACTTTCTCACCCGGAACACATGCTTGTGAAGCGTGTCTCATCAGCCGAAGATAACTTCGAGAGAGCGGTTCAATCGGTCGCCTGAAGACTCTTTCATGGTTCAAGCTAAAATACATGTGCAGGGTCGGTTTGCTTTACCACATATTTTCGGTACCATACCGTTTTGTTTTTCGAAATCAGTATATGAACCAGATTTTGCCATTGGATATGTTACAGTTATATCATCTCATGACTTCTAATATAAAACTCCACCTTTCACTCTCTCAAACGTTGAATACGTAAATCGTTACAAACAGATGCAAACGTTTTGAATAGGTTGCTGCTTCCTAGAATTAACCTAAAGCCATAATTAATCAATACAAAATCTCATATGTGGTCTCTATAAACGGGATATAAATACAAATAATCATCTACCAGTGATGGAGACCAATGCAGAAAGGTCAGTATGCAGAGACCAAGGAAGAAGAAGAAGATTCACAGCCATAGCCATGGCGATGAAGCTTCTGCCATCTCCATGCCGTCTTCAAGCTCTCTTGAAGATTTGTGTGCTTAGCTGTCCAATTCAGCTCCATTCTGATCTTGCTTGGATCGCTGTAAACCTCTGCGTAATCTCCTGCTCTTCTCTCCAAGTAATCCACTTTTATATCAACACCAGTCGCTTTTTTGCACGCTTCCACAAACTCCTTCACCGAGCTACCTTCTCACACAACAAAGAACACAAAACATTCACTTCATTTTCATTAGAATCTTTGCCAAAGAATCGGTTTTTTTGTTATACCTTTCCCTGTACCAACATTAAAGATTCCAACTTTGCTAGGTTTGGCCTTTTCAAGAGCTTTAACATGAGCATCGACCAAGTCCGTGACATCGATGTAATCACGTACGCAAGTCCCATCAAGGGTCTTGTAGTCTGTTCCTTTAATCTGCGGATAAACAAAAACCAAGTAAACATCGACAAAAAAAGATTGGTATTGTGATAATGATGACGCAAAGCAAAGATCTGCAAAATAATTACCTGAAGCCCGGGAATGATGCCACGTGCAGCATCAAAGCAAGCACCAGAGATCCTTCCATGCTCTCTGAGTTCAGGTCTTGGAGCTTCTCCTAGTCTGCCTTCTGGATCAGACCCGATCACATTGAAATATCTGAAAACAAATTCGATTTGAGAAGTCACATAACAACACAGAGCCTGCACACACAAACACACACACACACACACACAACAAAGAATAAACAAACAACCTCATGATCATAACCGCCATGTTGGAACTTTTGGAGAAATCCAAGATGATATCTTCTGCCATCTTCTTAGCTTTTCCATATGGATTGATTGGGACCTGAGGAGTTTCCTCTGTTATTGGCATCTTCTCAGGCTCTCCATAAGTAGCACATGTGCTTGAATATATCAAAGTCTTCACACCGTGAGCAGCCATCGTCTCTAGAACCACCAATGTGTTTGATGTGATATTGTGATAATACCTGCAAATTACATCACACCAGCTACTGTAAGAGATTTCACATCAATTTAAACAGAACAAGAAGAAGAAAGAAAAAACACTCACTTGAGAGGAAACTGTGTGCTTTCCCCAACATAAGCAACAGCGGCGAAATGCATCACAGCGTCAAATGCGTTTTCAGAAAATATTTTCTTGACCTGAAACAATTTCTTGTTTAAGAAACAAAAAAAAACTTGCTATTTGGTTATCAAGATCTTGCGTCTACAATGAGAATGATACCGCATTTGCGTCTCCAAGATCGGCATAAATGAATTGAAGCCTTCCAGGTTCCGGAAATAGCTGCTGCAAAATCTTGACTGCACCGAGGTTGCCACGTGATAGATTGTCCTGCCAAAAACACAAAAAAAAAGAGATTTACTTTTTACTTGGATACAACACAAGAAGATGAAGACTGATGAAACACTGAGAGCATAAGTCTATGAAAGGCAATGAAGATATAGTATATACCACAATGGTTACACGGTATGAATCTTTTAGAAGGCGCAAAACTGCATGTGAGCCGATATATCCTGCACCACCAGTGACTAGAACATGGGTTACTCCTGGTTCGTGTAGAGAAAACTGAAAGATGGAAGAGAACATACAACCACTCATATAACATTTTACTGCTTACAAAAAAATGAGAAATTGTATCAATAAAGAAGTGATACCACGCTCGGGGTGTCGAAAGTTGGGGATTGCTTGAGCAAGAAAATGCACATTGCTGTAAGGGAAACAGCCAAAACAATCTTCCCCATGTAACTGTTGTTCTTCTTCGGGTCTGCATAATCTAATCCTACACTCCCAAAAAAGTCACCAAGATGTGTGAATTTTGAATCCAAATTAGAAACAACACAACCAAAAGCTTCTGACTTTGGAACTAACAAACCCCACAAAACCTTGAAGACTATGTCTACTACTTCTAGACCATAAAGCAAAATAAGTTTCAGACAGAATTCTTCCAAAAGCAAAGCAAAAAAAAAGCAATTTGTGTACCACCTTACCTTCAAACGACATGGATCTGTTTTGCCTCCCTTGGATTCTTGCTCTACCAGAATTAAGCATTCTGATTCTGAAAAGCACACGGCCTAGTTCACTTCAGTTGCAAGAGCTTAAGAAGCCGGATGACTAGGGAACTCTCTCAGCAAATTCGAAATTCCAAGTATGTAAACTATTTTTGTGTTCCAAATTGGGTCGGAAAATGTCGGTCGTTACAAAAAATGACAATGCAGAATAGTTAGATTAAAAAAAAAAAAAGCTATAAATGCATATTATTATCACACCGACAAATAGCGAAATTGCAGCCTGAACATCGGAGAAGGAGAGAGAGACGTGCAAATGGGGAAAGCAAATAGAGCGGTGTCGCAGTAGAGAACAGAACACGAAAGAGCAGAGGGAGAGAGAGAAGAGCACTTACTTTTTTTTTGGGAGAATTTTGGAATAATTGGGCCATTGAGAATTTTGATACAATATGCGACGCGGTGATTGGAACGCGGAAGCACCGGCAGCTGTGCGTCCCGACGAACTCGGTGCTGACATGTCGGCAAAAGTCTCTACGTGGATTTCAGTCAATGGCCAAACACTTTCCTACCAGTTGACCAAAATCTTAAGTATAGTATAATACACCAACTTTTTTATGACAATCAGTAGTTTTTTTTTTTGTTAAAAATATGTTGCCAACATCATTTTTATGTTCTTATACATTTTATTTGTTTGACAAAAAAAATACATTTTATTTTAAATCGTTTTGAATAAATCTACAAAATATTATAAAGAAGTCTGCCTTTCTTTATTCAAATTGTTGTTTGGAGAATGATGATATTTGGTATCTCTTATTTGCTAACTATTTGTTTTAAAAAGTTATGGTTAAGTAATTTTCTATGGGATTTGTGGTTGTAAAAGAATCATACCACTGTAGAGGAAATTTCAGATAAGTATTACTTGTTTTCTCTATTTTGAATAGCCAAAAATGGTGGATTTTAGCGGACAAAAATTACAAAGAAAAAAAAATTCAAATGCAATCAAAAGAATCTTAAAGACTGAGTTGTTATCTAAATGGTTGGTGTCCAATGTCCAAACAAGATGTGTCATATATTATCTGATAAGCATATTAAGAGTAGACTATTGTAGTAAAAGTGTTTTCGATAAGAGTAATTGGTTTTTTATTGTATTTTTAAGAGTAAACAGTTTTTGGTATCCATTAGCGTTTACCAAAACTTAAAGTTTTTAGTTTGAAGGATATGATGATAGAGATCCTGATTCATTATACTCAAATAGTTAACATGATACTGTGTTTACAAATTCGCATACTCATAAAATTAGTTGAGTTTAACTAATTATCTCAGAAATCAATGTTTTTTTTTTAATGTTATTCACATTTGTTTGATGTAAGTTTTCTATCACTAGTGTTTCAGTATTACGTGGCTATATGTTTTACTCACCATTTTTAGTACTATTAAGGTTGAGTTTTATCCTAATTATCCACAAAAATGTTTTATAAATTTGATATTCTCCTCTCTAATTATGGATAAGGATATTAAAAAACTGTCTTTAATTCAGTTTTTATAGTTTTCCAAAATAAAGTATTTTTTTATTTTTTCATTGAAAAACTTTTAATAAAACATTATATGATGTCAGAAACTATATCAATCTTCAACTTTGAATTAATTTTTTTGAAAGAATGAAGTAAATATATTGTAAACAATTTACTTAAAAAGAGATATACAACTCACAATCACCCATCAACATAAATCATTGACCAACATTGTTATGATTGGTGGTGATCATGGTTATACCTCTGTTCAAAAAGAAGAGAAGAGTGATGGATACAAAATCATCCAATCTTACACGAAAGACAATGTTAAGAAACAATAGAAAAAGAATGGAAGAAATTGGCTTAGTAATTAGTAAATTTGTAAAGCTATTTTATTTAATATTTTTTCATACAAAAGATGTTTACGATAGTTTATGAAGAAGTAGCCACCATAATACGCGTAACAAAACTTTTAACATAATAGATTTATAAGATCATCTCTATCTATTGGTTCTTAAAGTTAAGAGGGTTTTTATAGATATATAAAAAATAAGTAATAATATAATTATATGGAATTTTTAAATTAAAAACCTAAATTTTTCAAAATTTCTTAAATAAAATATTTTAAAACTCTCTTTCTTTAGTTTAAAAACCCTATAATTATTTATTAATATTTTTTCTATTAAGAACTCCATTTATCCCCATAATTACAGAGGTGCTCTAAACATCATCATCACCAGAGCGTGCACACCAATTTGAGCTATGCACCGATCTTTTAACTTGGTTGGGCCCATCTCGGAGAAAGCCCAATGGGCTGACCGGCCACTTTGACACTTCTAGTTACTAATGTTTTTACATCAGTTTATTTTGTTCAAAGAAAATTTACGAGGCTGTTAAAAATAATAATCCCGTTTTAACCCAAAAAAAAAATCTGAAACATATAGATTGTTTGGTCTGTTCGGCCAGTAAAATTATGACCGCAGACAGAAAATGGCGGCTTCATCTCATCTCTTTGCATTCCCTTCGCGTCTGCATACAGCTTCTCCGTTTCTCTGTAACATCCTTTTAATCTCTCAATTCATTTTCGACATTGTTGATACTATCCTCTTTCTTATCCTAATTTTACTGAGCACTCGTGTTTCATTTAGCCGCACCAAACCGGAATCGAGTTCGTATCGCTGCGAAATCATGCCCGGACAATCAGAGCTTCGATTCGAACGATTCCGATTCTTCGTCGGAGACTACCAACGAAACCCAGGTTAATAATATATAAAATTCGTCTTCTTCCCGCAAGATTCTTCTTGTTAGTACTGCCTCTGCTGAGGTTTCCTCTTGTGTAGAGGTTAAGGAAATTGAATGTTGAGTTCACTAATTCGGAAAAGTTCGTGTCTTTTTTCGTCTTCCAAGCATTTCTATCAGCTGCAAGAGTTTTCAATTCATTGTTTCGACTCTTCCTTTGTTCGTTGCTAACCACACAAGTTGAAGCTTAAAAGTTACAAGTTCTTCTTATCTTTGCTGACTTAACATTTTTTTTATATTATTATTGTAAGTTATCTGATAATGATAAGCAAATGAAGAGTGTATCTCTGTTATTGTTTAGTTTTGGTGACTACTAATACTTAACCTTACATTCCTTCAAAGTTTTAGCCTTTAGTTGTGCTAAAACCTGTAAGTTGAGAAATGAAAGTTGCTGAGCTAGTTGTAGTTCACAATCCATGGCTGTGTATGCAACTGCATCTATAATGATAACAAAAATCTGGAGTCTTAGTCTTAAATTTCTGCTATCTATTTTAAACGAGGTCATCAACTTGACTGGCTTGTGGTCTTTGTCTGCAGGAGGATCAGAAATTTATGTCGCGGAGACAGTGGATGACATGTGTGTGCTTAACTCCAGCTTTGATCAACAACGCTTATACCTTTGTCTCTGTACAAAGCGCAGCCGCTTTAGACAAGAAGCCAGGAGTTTGCCGTAACTGTCAGGGCATTGGTGCTGTTCTTTGTGAGTGACACTTTCTTGTTTGCTTTTTAAGTTTGTTTTTTTTCTCTGGGAATCTGATACACAGAACATATCCTTGAACGTATATTTGTAAAGTAGGTAGTACTATTATTTGCCTTGTGTTTCAATAGAAACTTTTTTTGTCTTTCGGTGCGACCAAATTGTGATGTTTAAAAGAGTAAATCGAAACAAACCTGTTCACCACACTGAACTCTTATAGCTATGTGATTACTCTGTTTCGTGACTCCTTTCTATGTTAATGATTCTCTGTTTCTTTTTTGATATGCTGCATTATGCCTCAGGAGCTTAGTACTGATGCTTTTAATTTGATTTTTGTTGTGATTTAGGTGATATGTGTGGCGGTACAGGAAAATGGAAAGCTCTCAACAGAAAACGTGCAAAAGATGTATATGAGTTTACAGAATGTCCAAACTGTTACGGTTTGTCTCTCTTTCCCAATGTTTCTTTAGTTTAGTTTGGTTTGGTTACGTGTGAAACAATTATTTCGGCGGCTCCTGTTTGCAAACAGGTCGAGGAAAGCTTGTTTGTCCCGTCTGTTTGGGTACAGGTTTACCAAACAACAAAGGCCTTCTTAGAAGGCCTGGTGCTCGTGAGCTACTCGACAAGATGTACAATGGTCGGCTTCTTCCCAATTCATGAGCAGGTAGGTATAGTTGGTCCGTTTACGACTTGAAAAGCCTGTTGAGGACAAGCGTGCTCCTCTCTCTGATCAGTCTATCTCTTGTAATCTCGCAGATTGTTACCGCAAATCTGCTTTTAAGCACAGAACCAATAGAGACATGATTATAGAAGCGGAAGAAAACTAACACATTATGGGCGCATCGAAAGCTATAGAAGAATGTAATTCAAAGAACATGTTTTTGTAATGTTGTTAGCTTTTGGTTGTAAATTTTATAAACCTAAAAGTTCTCTTCTTCCCCAAGAAATGACACCCTATCTTCCCTCTAGGTCGGATTGGGGTATGATCGAGATCAATAAAAATCCAATAATGTCCTTCACAATCACACATACACATTTATTTTCTTTAATCCTCGAGTCACACTGACACACATCTACTAAATCACACAACAATGCCATAATATCAATTACTTGAGCACACTTCATATTTCCCTCCATATTCCTTACATATCATCATTTCATACTTTAAAAACGCGAGAAATTCTCCAAAATGTCACACTTTTTACTCTTTGTGTGTTTTGTCGAAGTGTGTGGGGGAAGATGAAAATGTCCTTAACAGAATTAATGATATACATGTATCTATATACTGATATAAATCTAGATGACGTAAAACTTAACTCTAAACTAGAAATTATATATCGTGTTGTTAGATACACCACACATATTTGATAAATCGCTTCGTAAGAATAATTACTGTGTTTAGTATTTTCTGTTGCTTAATTGACACCGCGTTTAATTTTGTAAGAATCTCACTAGAAAATTTGTAACTGTGTAAAGCATACAGCCTGTTTTGATATAATTAGGAAAGTGAAATGTAAATGTTAAGAATAGTATATGTATTTTGTATACAGCCTGTTTTGATATAATTAGATGAATGCACCCTAACAGGTTGCAAGAGGAGAGACGCATGTTCATGTGCATGCCTCAGTATTTATGATTTAATTAATCAATAGTAAATTAGTAATGTTTCTCATTTTACTCAACCAATATTCATGTCACACGTATTTTTATTTATTTTGCCTGGAAAGTGTGCAATATACATGCATTTTTAATTTTGTAGCCGTTAAATCAATGCACCAGTTAATTTGTGTTTGTGCATGTTCGTGTAAGTTTCCTTAAAAATTACTGCAATCTACAGTATGCAGATATATGGTTGGTAAAAATATATACAGATTCTCTGTTCAAAAAGCCTATATAAACATCTTCTATTGCGCAACAGAAAAGCAAATTAAAAACAAAAGCACGTAAACAAATATGGCTTCTTCAGTCACCACCACTTTAGCCCTAACCCTAATCTTGCTCTTCCACCTCACGCCGGAAACAACCGCAGCTCGCCCTCTCAACGATCAGAAGCCGGCCAGCTCTCTCGTTGGCGGTGTTCCTTTCGGAGGCATTCCGCAATTACCGTTTCCGTTTCCGCATTTACCATTTCCGTTTCCGTTTCCGTCATCACCTCCGGGATCGATTCCCGGCATCCCTGGCTTTCCCCGTATCCCTGGAATTCCCGGTTTTCCTGGCTCTCCCGGTATCCCTGGCTTTCCCGGTATCCCTGGAATTCCCGGTTTCCCTGGCTCTCCCAGTGGTCTCCCCGGCTTTCCCGGTATCCCTGGCTCTCCCGGTGGTATCCCCGGCTTTCCCGGTATCCCTGGCATTCCCGGTTTCCCTGGCTCTCCCAGTGGTCTCCCTGGCTTTCCCGGTATCCCTGGCTCTCCCGGTGGTATCCCCGGCTTTCCCGGTATCCCTAGCATTCCCGGTTTCCCTGGCTTTAGGTTTCCTCCCCTGCCGTTCCTCCCGACGCCACCATGATTTTTATAGGTTAACGCCGTTATGATATTATAAGTATGACGTTGGACTAAACTCATCACTCATGCATGGTACTATCGATATATAATGGTCATGTGCATGTACTCGATATTTATTTTACCAAAAAAAAAATGTACTCCATATTTTAATATAAGAGTATTTTATGAAAATTAAATTAAAGATGTGTCGTGTAAGTGTAATACCATTCTGATCTGATATATAAAGACTTCGATTCGAGTTCCTAGCACGGAAGCACCAGAACCTCTCTCTCTCACAGTCTCACTCGCTCACTCACTCGCTCGCTCACTCATTCTTCTGACCATGAAGTTTAAGATTACGAGTAACGTTCAAAACGACGCTGTGTGCTGAATTTGTTGTTTTCAGTTGTGAGAAGGGATTAAATAGTGAAATTGGATATGTTGTTTCTATACTATCATGGTAAATGACTAGATATTAGAGAATTTTAGAGAAATTTAAACCGAATGCTCTCATCTAAAAAAATAAAAAAACAGAGAAGTATGCAGTCTTAAGACTCTTAACAAGTTTATATATAAATGAAAAATTCTAGTTTTAGAAAATCGAACCCCTCCTAATTTCGCCATTTATTACTCCTCCATCCAAATTTCATAGTCAAAGATCATGGAAGTTATTTCAAATTCTAGAGATAATCATTGTAAAATCCTTCATTCAGTGTAAATGGGAAACAAGGTAAAAATTAAATACAATGCAAACTAAGCCATAGATATAAACCAAAACTAAACTAGTTATATATAAGTTCTCTAATAGTTATGACTTATGAGTGTTTTGATCTTTTGTTCTTTTTCTTAGAGTTTTTACCATTTATTCCAACGCCAAATGCATTCTAACTAAATGATTTCAATAACAGTAATAGATGATTCTACCCGGTAACGAAGTCAGAAATTTTATTTACAAGGGTCACAGCATATAGTTAGTTAAAAAGATTAAAAAATTATTAGAAAAATGAAAAACATTAGTAAAATTTTAATTTTTAAGAGAATTGTTAATACAAACAAACAAAAATAGATACAAAATTTTACTTATAATTTTTTTATCTAACATGATTCTAATAGAAAATGGTGAATGAAAAAAAAAGAGATAAAGAAAATCATAAACTAACAAAATAAAATTATCTACTTATTTTATTGAGACTATTTTATTTTATATTTGTTTAATCTAGTCAAACCAAACATATTTGACAAAACAGTTTTTAGACAGTTGATTTTTAAAAAAAATTATACCGGGAAAGAAAAGAAAAAAAAACTCCCTGAATTTTGCAAGTTAAAAGGAAATTGAGTGCAACAGATATAAATCTGAGACTTGGTTTCTCCGGCTATGATTGAATTCCATCTAACTTATTCTCCACGACATCAAAAACAGAGTTTTTAATTTGTTCGGAGATGAGAGTCGTCCTGTATCTTTTTTTTTTTTCTCAATTTCACTTCTTCATTGTGTATATTTTTTCTTGTGAGACACTTCTTACTTACTTATTATGTTGAGATGATACTAAAACAGTTTCACTATCATCAGATATCGTTAGGGAGAAGGCTTTTTCTAAGCTTCAAAACTAATCATAAGGAACAAAAGTTACAACTTGTTCTTCACGAGCCTGATCAGAGAAAAAATATACTACGAAAATTACATTTAGGCAGTCCATACTAACAATACATAATAAACAGAAAAAGTTGGTGAGTTCTATTTCATTTCAAATGGACCCCAAATTTTTTTTTCTTTGGTTAAGCTCATGGGAGAATTTGACATGAAGCAATCTTTCATTGCCAACGGATCCCTCTGTGACTTGTGGTTCCAATATTCCACCAGACGATGGTTTTGGTCAAGAGCCTCAGTGGCCTGGAGATGAAGATGATAAGTTGTGTAAGAGATCATGGACCGGTTATCAAATAAGAGCTTTCTAATCCGGTTTAATCCATCCCAACCAAAACCATCCCCAAAAACCAAAAAAAAGAAACGTTTTGGTTTGATATTTGTTACATCCAAACATACAGCAATGGAAACAGAATAAAGAAAATCCTTCCAATTCAAGATTCTTTTTAAGAATTCCGAAATCAAAACCATACAAAATCAATACAAATGTTTTTGGCATCCCTAGTTGTTGTTAGATTTTACCTGAATTATAGATGGGGAGGAAAAACCGAACATTCGTAGACCGTCGATGCTTTCCAAAGTATGAACACTCTGTTCTTGGCTGCTTCGCTTTCTCATCTCTTCGTTAACTCTTTGCAACACCATTTCCCAGCATTTCTGAGCTGAGACATTAGAGAAGCTCTCGTCTTGAGATTCTTCTAGAGTAACCTGAAAATTAAAACAACCGATAAACAACAATGTAAGACAATTCTCATATTTTTTTTGCAAAAGTGTAACACGAACGTTGTAAAAGGCTTTTTACCCTGAAGAGTGGACCCATAAGTCCTGCGTCTACAACTTCACAGATGTAATAGCTTATCCTCATTGGATCTTTCACGTTATAGAACTTAACCCGACTCTTAAACCCTGTAAAAAAAAAAAACCTTCACCAACTTAAGCTCTTTCCACTCGTGAATTAATTAAACTCTTTAGGGCTAAAAAACTGAGTTTAGTGAAGATGCACCTTTTGGAAATATAGCATGCTTGTCACACCAAAGCTTTCCGAAAACCAAGAACCCTAGGTTTATAGGCTCGACGTCGGCAGCAAAGTTCATCGTGGATGCAACAGCACGGGTCTCTGAAGAAGCAGCATCAAGCTCGCCATCCAACTGAAATTCAAGATTCAGGTCAAAAGCACCTTCCTTTAGCGGTTTTTCCTCAAGAATGACCGGACTAGATTCTTCCTTATGAGTCTCTGAATAATCTCCGATGACTTTAGAAGCCCAAGTTTTCAGATCCTCTGTTTCGCCTTCCAATGCTCTGACCAACGAGCTTAACTCCTTCACGGTGTAACGAACAAGGATGAACCGATCGTTCCCTTCACATGAACAAAGTTTTTCCACGTGGTTCGTGCAAGCGTATTCTCCGGGACAGCACTTGTTGCAGCCAGAGGCCGATAGATGCAAGTCGTAGAAGCACGAGATGCATTCCCTTTCGCAGTTCGAATCAAACTCCTTATCCATCTTTACCAATCTGAAACCATTTCCAAGAGCCTCGATACTTCTCTGTTCTATACGTAACCGAGCTTCAACCGCATTAGTAAGAGTTCCATTCTTCCCGCAGAGACCTTTCCATCTCGAGTTCTTTGCATTTTCTTCTTCCCCACGAGCGAAGAGTTCCCAAAGGGACTTGACAGCTTCATAAGCTGCTCCAAGAAGAAGTTTGTCATGAGACAGAGACGTCTTACGAATCTCTTCACTGTATACTTCCACAGCTTTCTGTCCGTGAGACAACCAGTCAACCGGAGCAACATTAACCGCTTCCGCGCAGTTGAATCCGCTGTTGAAACCGGCGTGATATGCCCTAGGGAATGTCAGAACAAATTCCCCTGATTTCTGAACCGCTCGATAAACCGGGACTCCCTCGTCTTTTAAAATAGAAGGAGAGAATTGAGTAACAAGTCCATGAAGCAGATTAGGCTGTTCATCGAAGAGATCTGGTAGATGTTTTCTCATGGCCTCCTCTAGTCCCGTTGCATGGCTTCCCGGAACTCCGTACCATACTTTTGGCTCGCCAAAGTGATGATAGTTCAGTGAATAAAGGTGATGATCCTCGACATGCTGTTTTTAAATCAAAATGTCAAACGTTAAGTGAAACTGATGAAATTGAAAAATGATTTAGACAGGGAAAGTGTAGTTTTTTTTACCCAACAAAACGTTGAAAAACACATTCCAACGTAGACCCATGGCACAAGAACACCAGAGATATCAGAGTGCTCAAACGAGAGTAGAGAACCAGGAAGACGCCGTAAGTTATTCAAGTTCCAACCAGAAGCTATGTATTGATCCATTTTACTCTTTCCCGTTAACATTTCAACTCCGTTGTAAAATCCGCTTCCGAGTACCCGATTCTCTAAATCGGCTCCATAATATACCTACAACGAAGAAATGGAATTCACAAAAACTTTTTAAGACACAAACAAATCTGGTTTGTGTTTTTTAGTTGGTGAATAACGACCAAAGAGAAGCATATAGTATTACGTACCTGGACTTCATCAGTTGGTCGCTCAACTATCCTCCAGTATTCTCCTTCGATTTCTTCAATAGATGGAGTCCACTTTGTATCTCCAACAGAGTCTTTTCTTCTTTCAAAGTAGGAGTCTTTGAAATACCTAGCGTATCTCTCAAACTCCTCAAAAGTGAAGTCTGAGCCAGCGTTGAAACCAAATTTCTCTTCTTCATTCGTCTCGGGAGAGGGAACTGTTCCAGGTCGCTTGGAGGAACCCATTCTTGAGTTTCTTCTTCGCTTCCGTTTTCTTCCCTTAGGTTTCCTCTTCTTCTTCATCGGCTCTCTGTTCTGAAGCAGGTCAACATGCTGAATACGGGTAGGGAACTTTGTATGCTCCCATATGCTTTTCTCCTTTAGCCGACAAGGAGGAGACCAGTTCGAGGGTGGTATGATTCGGCATATACCAAATAATTCAGCTATTGGACGTATCTTTTCTATGTAAGCAATTGTATCTTCAAACTCCTAAACAGCCAAAAAAAAGTACAATTAAAAATGAGGAAGAACAATAAAAGTTGACTAACGTTGGGACTGAAACAGTTTGATCAATAAAATTTGGGGATTAAAACGGGTTTAATCAATAAAAGTGATGTAAAAAACAAACAAAAAATGAGGCAAGAACAATGAAAGTTGACTAACGTTGGGACTTAAACGGTTTGGTAAAAAAAATTTGGGGATTCAAAATGTTTTAATCGACAAAAGTTGGAATTTTCTTTTGCTGAATAAAAAAAAATTGAAAGTTTTTTAGCCTAAAATGTGTAATAATTTTTTTTTGGGCACATTTCTCAAAGATCAATCAAAACATCTCAAGTGAGGATGAAGACCTATTAGTACCTCTAATGAAGGGTAGAATACTGGAGCTTCACCAATGACTGGCCTCTGCCCTTCAGCTGGATCCCATCTAGCAAGAACCTATCATAAGTAACAAAAATACGTTTTTGTAAGCCTTGGATACATCAGATCCAGTTCAATAGCAAGTTTACATATTGAGAATCAGTTACATCTTACCTTTCGATGACGCGGACTATTAGGAGGTTTTACATTAGTGTCTTTGTCCTGAGTATAAATAAAATAGGAAAATGTTATGTTTCAAAAAAAATCTTTAAGGATAAACTAAGATAGCAAGAATTACAATAATTCAATCTTGAAAACCCGCATATATTCGGGTTTTCGATGAATCCAAGTAACACTAGTATGCCAATTAATCGATGAATGTGAAGTTAAGTGTGGAATAAATTAGGGTTCATGATCAACATTAGCAAATCAACTAAGAAAGGGAGGGCCATCTAAAGCCAAATTCATAATGCAAAACCTAATCTACAAATTCGGGTTTTTGATAAATTCAAATGGGAGTACAAATTCGGGTTTTTGATGAATACAAAGCAAATTTCAGGAGAAATCATAGTTTAGGATCAACATTAGTAAATCAACTAAGAAAGTGAGTGCCATTTAAGGATAAATTCATAATGTAAATCTAATTTACAGATTCGGGTTTTAGATGAATGCAAAGATAATTTCAAGAGAAATTATAGTTTAGGATCAACATTAGTAAATCAACTAAGAAAGTGAGTGCCATTTAAAGACAAATTCATAATGTAAATCTAATCTACGGATTCGGGTTTTCGATGAATGCGAAGCGAATTTCAGGCATTTAAAGACAAATTCATAATGTAAATCTAATCTACGGATTCGGGTTTTCGATGAATACGAAGCGAATTTCAGGAGAAATCATGACTGCCATTTAAAGACAAATTCATAATGCAAATCTAATCTACAGATTCGGGTTTTCGATGAATCTGATGTATTCGATGAATCCAATGTAACAATAGTATGGCTTATTGATCGATAAATGTGAAGCAAAGTGCAGGAGAAATCAAGACTCATGATCAACATTAGTAACCAACTAAGAAAAGGCGTGACATTTAAGGCCAAAATCATAGTGCAAAACTTAATCAACAAATCTCAATATAGTTAGAAATTCGATAGCGCGCGACTAATCGATGAATGATCCTTAAAGAAAAGAGCATCACAAGCTAACCTTTTTGATCTGAGATTCTGATGCAGCAACACTGAAAGGTTCCATTGAATTGGAATCAATTACTCCACTCCAAAAGACCAGAGGGCCCTAATAAGAACCGAGAAGATTAACCAATGACTAAGGATAGAAGAATGGTAGTAACCCCATTTCAATTGAATATATAAATAAGGGGATCAACAAATACATAGGCTAAAGAAATTCATTAGAGATAAGAAAAAAAAAAAAAAAACTGAAGATTTCATACCAATCACAATGACAGCTCAGAGCTCAGAATCTCTTTTCCCCAATTGAGGTATGAAAATTGAATAGGCAGTTACAAGAAAAATAAAATACCCTAATAGGGAAATAAAAAAAGGGATTGACTGGCCTAGTTAAGTAGTAGCAATAAGGAGAAGCAACACAGAATACTACAAAAGCTAACCTAATGAAGCCAGGAAAAAAACAAAAACATAAAAAAGAATGCATCTTCAACCAAAAAAAAAGCAATAGATAGAAACCAAATTAATCATTATGTTACTAATAAAAGGTTTTTGAAGAGATAGAGAGGAACGAGATGAGTTCACCTCAAACGGTCGGCTGAGATTCGGAGATGTAATAAGAAACTTGTGCGGAAGTGTCTTTAAATTAAATCTCTGGATTTATCGAAATTAATTCAGAAAAAGGAGACTCAAACTTTTTTTTTAATTAAATTAATATTTTTAGAAATATATTATAAGACAGAAACAGAGACAGAACAAAAGAAGAAGATAGAAGCAGAAGACGAGGAAGTTGGAGAACAACCGCCAAACGAAACGCACACTGTTTTAACTGACACGAATCAGCAGAAGATCCCAAGCCCACGGTACCGTGCGAATCCTTTCTTATTAATTCAATTACGAAATTGATATTCTACTTTTATGTTATTTACATTTTTGTGCCATCAGTCTTCTTGCTCTTAAGGTTTTGATTGGTTATGTGTTCTGTTATAATTTTTCGGGTTTCAGGTTATGGTTGGTTATTGGATTTATTTTCATTTTGGTTCGATTTGAATAAAATATATAGTTTGGGATTTAAATATAAATTCGATTAATTTTTTAAAAAAGTATAACATTAGTCTATTTATAGATAAAAAAATTCAGATTTTATAATGATTTGAAATCAAACTTAATATATTTTAAAAATACAATTTTCATGAGTATATTATTTTTTTTTTGTTACAAAGCAAAACAGATTATTTGTATCTTATTTTTTAATATTTTTTATATTATCCGATAAAAACTTATATGTATCATTTGTTGTTTTGTTGCATTTATTAAACATGATAAATAATTTTCTTCGTTTGATATAAATTAGTAGATTAAGATTAATGAAATTTAAAATTTGCATAAAAAAATATAGTAATCCAAAATGACCAAAACCAAAGGATCCTTATTTCATATCAACTTAGCATTAATAAACATATAGAGTTAAAAGGTTTAAATGATTTAGGGTTTTACTTGTGGTCGCAGAATTCAATTATGTTAGTCAAAATATTAGTAGGTTAAACAATCAAATTAAAATTAGTTTAATGAAATAATTAAGATTTTTTTTTATTTATGCTAGTTACCTTTTTAGTAAACTGGATATTTTTATAATATAAACTATGAGTTTGGCCCGCACGCATATGCAGGCATAAATAGTTTTAAAAATTTAATTACATAAATATGATATCTAAATCGATATAAATATTTTAACTTTTTGTAATATATAAAAAATTAGGTATGACGATTAAATTATAGGTCCTAATAGCAAAATATAGTATAATTTTAACTAAATATTTCATTATAACAAAAGACCCATTTTATTATGTTAAAAGGCCAAATGGGTCAGACCCGTGGATAGCTGGTTAAGCGGATTATCTGCTGTGGATTTGCGGGTCAGGCGTACATAACTGCAAATTTCATCATCTTCTTCGTCTTTAATTAATCTTCCTCAATTTATTCAACTATTATAGTGCGGAAAGACAATCTTAAGAAGACTGTTAAAAGTAGATAATCATATTTCAGTTAACAAAATGTGGTATACTCTAACTTTTCTTTGTATAATTGTTTAGCTTCTGTTTTGTGTGGACAACAAAAATGGGTTCTTTAGATTATATAGTCGGTGCATTTGATAAATATATAATTTTTATACAATTTAACGTGTACAAATTTGTGTATGTAATAAAAAGATATAACATATGTTTTATGCATGTAATAAAAAACGACGGTTTACAATTTATATTAATAATTAAATATTTTATATTTTTTAGTTTTTATAAAATAATTATTTGAACTAAAATAAAACTAAACACATAATTTTTTTTGCCATTTCATAATCTACATGTATTAGCAAAAGTCATGTCATAATTACATCATCATTATTCATTACACATCATCATTTCCATGTCACATTTAATTATGTTAGATTGATGTTTTTAACCAATGAAATTAAAACAAATCAACATATTTCATTTAACTACATTGTCAATTAATAAGTAGAGGATTCTAATTTAGAAATCTAGGTTAAAAAAACAAAAATTAATTAAAAATTAGATTATATTAATTTGTTAATTTCAGTAAGAATAATTAAAATAAATTCACATAAGAAGCTAAAGGTAATAATCATCGTAATTTTCAACCACTATCCAACTCGTTTGTAAATTAATAATATGATATATACATAGATAGTTTTGTTTGAACTTGTATATATATCAGTTTCTGTTCGATCTTGGATTAATGCATCCGGTTTGGTTCGGTTCGTTAGATTTTTCCACCCCTGAGATTCTCAAAAACTATTATAAATTTGTTATTTTCTCGTTTGAAACGATTAAAAATTTGTCGAATAAACAATATCAACAAGTTCCCTAGGCTATGCTTGAATCAATAACACTGTATCAATCTTCAAGGTTTTTTGACATTTGTATATCAAAATTCAAAAATTGGACTCAGTGAAAATACTTGAGGGAAAAGAAAAGAATAACGACAGCTCTTGTTTTAAATATTGCCTCTCCAAGTTTTATCAGATGCTTGATGCTTCTTCACAAATCAAATACCATATAGAGAGCTTATAAGGCATAAAGAACCAAATTTATACAAGAGGCTTAACAGTAAATATGATCATGCCACCCCTTTCAATTCTATGATTTCAGATGTTGCTTGATTCTTCCAGAAATAAATATTAGTTTTGTTGGGGTCTCAGATCTGACATTAGAGCTTATTGCAGCTGCACAGAGAAGATCCTAGATAAAGAGAAAAAAAAAAAAGTCTATAAAGATGGAACAAAAATCAATTCTATGGTGTCAAGAGCCAAAAAAATCAGATCAATGGTTATCTGAAATCTGATGGAGAGAAAGGTCACTGAAGTAGCTGTTATGTCTTACATCGGACAAGCTGTTTCTGAGATTTCTTGTTGGTTCCTCCGTTACATATACTCTTTTTAGGATCAACCCATGTTTCTTTGCCAAATGCCATACGTTGGTTGTCTTGTTGAACGGAGACTGGATTCAGGACTGTCTCTAGTTCACCACAAGATGCTGCGATTAGTCCTGGAAACAAGATTTGTAACTGATTCAAAATTTCTGAAAAGATTTTAAAAAAATTGTTGGAGCTTTTGCTTGAAGTCATATGGCAAGAACTCTGACCTAAGAACAGAGGAGATACTTTCCCGGGTTTGGATTTGTACTCAGGATGGAATTGAGCACCGATGAAAAAAGGGTGGCTTGGAACTTCAACAATCTGCAATACCATCAATGGAGAAGAAAAGATCATTTTACAAAACCGAGTTTAAATTAGTTTAAGGCTAGACACCAAAAAAAAAACGAACCTCCATGCGTTTGCTAGTTTCATCTTTTGCACCGAAAGAGAGACCTGCCTTCTCAAGGCATACAACCATATCAGGATTCACCTGGAAGAAAACACTAAGTTTCTTTGTACATCTTGATCAAGAAAAGGCCAGAGTTTTAAGATATATTCTTACCTCATATCTATGGCGATGCCTCTCATCGACAAACTCTTTGTTCCCATATCTGCAAGAACCAGTTAAAATAGAGTTTTTACATAAAGTAATCTTTAACATCCAACACAGTAATTTGGATTGATGATTGGTTTCTTACAGTCTTGCAGATTTGCTGTCCTTGACATGGAAATAGGCTCTTCTTGACCCTAATCTCATTGTGCCTCCCATGTGAGTCTTGGATCCCTCTGGCATGAAAATGATGCATGGATGTTTGGTTTCAGGTTTAAACTCTGTGCTATTTGCATCAGGAAAGCATAGTACCGAGCGTGCAAACTCTATGACAGCGACCTGCATTCCAAGACAGATACCGAGGAAAGGGATACTGTTTTCTCTGGCATATTTTGCTGCAAGAATCTTCCCTTCTACTCCTCTATAACCAAACCCTCCAGGGAGAAGAACTCCATCTGCTCCCTGAAGACGAAACAGGCGATGATGTCACGACTCATAAGGCTTCTCAAAGAGATAAAAAAACAGAGGAGTTTTCAAGACAAACCTTCAGTAACTTCCAGGCAGCCTTGTATGCACATGAATTCTGTCCAAAGAAACACCAAATTTCTGTTTTTCAGAGTTTGCAAGAACAGAGCAAAAACCTACTTAGCAAGATTTGTTTACCTCTTTCTTTGTGGTCTTCTCGAGATCGCAAGATGAAACCAAATCAACAACAAGCTTTTTCCCAAAAGCCACTGAAGCATGCAAGAGGGCCTAAACAAGTTGACCGAAAACAGCGAGACGGAACAGGGAAGTCACTTAAACATTTAAAACCATACCAACACAATGATGTGTGCCATGAGAGTATAAGTTTTACCTTCAAGACAGAGAGATAGGCATCTGAGAGGTCTGTATATTTCCCCACCACAGCGATTCTCACCTGTAAAAGTTTACTTGGTGGGTTAAGAAAAGAGACATGGAGGCTACACACTATGCTGTTTATTTGGGAAGATGAAACTCACCGGTACATGTAAATTGTCGCTAATTTCCACCATTGAAGCCCATTTCTCTAAAGAAGGTTCTTTAGCAATACCAGAAAGGTTCAGGACTTTTGAGATTGCTTCATGAGCCTTCTGATCCTGTTTCAAGTGACGAAAGAGAAGTGTTTGCCTTTAATGATTTTCTTAATGAACTTGCAAGATTTATATTCCCGGTAGTTGAAAAATCATTACCTTGAGCAACAAAGGAATGTGCCAGATGTTGTGAACATCATAGAGAGAAAAGATATTCTGAATCTGAAAACAACAAGTGCTGAAGCTGGTTAAGAAGAGAAATAAAAACGACAAGACAACAAGGGAAACTAAAACAGGATGCATCATATATACCGGAATATAGCAAAACCGAGATAGCTTTGCTTTTACATTTTCATTAAGAACCTATTAGAAAAAAAAAGAGAAAACAAGAGTTGAGTTTTTATAATAGAACAAGAGGAGATGACAACAAGATCAACAAGTAAAACCTCTGTGCTTCGACAAGCTATGATATTAGGTGTCAAGCCCAAGCCTCGTAGATCTCTAATGCTGTGCTGTGTTGGTTTTGTTTTCTAAAATAAAATAAAAAAAACAAATGAAGTTTCTCAAAGACAAACATACATATAGAGAGATAGATCATACTTCATTTATGTTAATAACACATACCTGTTCACCAACAACACTGAGCACAGGCACGAGAGTGACGTGGATCAGACAGAAATTCTCAGGTCCTGAAATTTAACATTGAAGCAATTACATTTTCTTAAAGGATCACTAGTGATGATAGAGGATGAAATTTTCTTACCTACACTGAATGATAATTGGCTAAGTGCATCAGTGAAAGGCCTTGATTCATTATCTCCTGCAAACACAAGATTATTTTGTGTTTATATAACAAAAGAAGCAACAAAAGAAATTGAAAATCTCTCTGTTGTTGTTTTGTTTAAGTACCTATAGTGCCACCTAACTCGATGATGCAAACATCAGGAGGACCTTCTTTTCCATCTACAGGAATCATGGCTACTCTCTCCACCCATTCTTTTATTGTATCAGTGACGTGAGGAACAATCTAAAAAAAAAATCATTACCAACCAAAACATAAAACAAAAAGCTTATGACAAAATAAAATAAAAAATGTTGAAACTTTTTTCATTTACCTGAACAGTAGCTCCTAAGTAATTTCCTTTCCTCTCTTTATCCATAACACACTGTGACAATAATAGAGCTTTTTGTGAGTTGTTAATTGCAGATAAATACTAAGTAACAAAAAACCGAAAAACATTCGGTAATTGGGATGTAGGACTTAATTAACCTTCTGAATCTTCCCGTAAGTGATATTGTTATCTCGATTTAATGTTAAACCTAGAAACCTCTCGTAGTTTCCAAGATCAAGATCCACCTTTTGTCCAAACCCATAAAAAAAAATGTTTTTTTTAATAATTCAAGTCTTTAAATGGAAAAGGTAGAAGAACACAACAGACAAGTTGTTTTTTTTATTTACCTCACTACCATCGTCTAAGACAAACACTTCGCCATGTTCATAAGGGGATATGGTTCCAGCATCATAGTTCAAATAAGGATCTAGAGATGGTAAGAGAGAAAGAGATTGAGTGCTCCGTAAGGAAACATCACTATTGTCGAACTCAATGAAAGAAAGATACCGATTTTGATAGAAGTAACGCGAAGACCACATGACTGTAGAAGAACACCAATACTACTCGCTGTGATTCCTTTTCCTAGTCCACTCACAACACCTCCCGTTACAAGCACGTACTTCATCTTCTCCTTCCCAATTTAGTTAATCCTCCTGAACAAACACCACCAAAACCAAGTTATAAGAAAAAGCAATCACAGAGAGGGGAACATGTAAAAATTTCGTTCAGATCATATACAGAGAGGGTAGGCACACGAGATAGACATGAGCATACTGTGTGACAGAGAGGGGTAAAGAGAAAATGCCAGAAGCTTTGAAACAGAGAATACTTGAAGAGAGAGATAAAGTAAGATCGCAGGGCTTAATATTAGCGACTGCTTACGTTTATTAGCGATAATATAAAATATAATATATTTGGGTTTATCATACCGAAAATATAAAAATAAAAATATCTGATTCCAACAAATTCTGTTATGATATCCTCTCAAAATTAAAACTGTTTCTAGAGCTTTTTGTTGAATATTATGAGAGAAGGAGAATGGAAGCAATTTATAGGAGAGTAGTCCCTTGGCATCTTCCACCTATCAACACCCAAAGAAGAAAACTCTCTTTCACCTAATTAACTTAAATTTAATATCTTAATATATTTAAAATATTCATCTACTTTCATAATGATCTAAGACTATCAAATCTTTTATATTAGTAATTAAACAAAATTGTAAGCAAAATGGTTGTTTATATTTAACCATCAAAAATCTTTAATGATGGTTAACCATTTATCAATTCTATAACTGTAGTCCTTTTTGAACAAATTTGAAACATATATAATGATGGAAAATTGCTAGCAATACATGTGTTTCGCAGTCTTACCAATAAACACTCCTGTCTTTTTAATATAAATTTTGTTTTTATTTTTTATCATCTAAAAGTTTAAATGCTAATAATATAAAGTAAATTTTCAAAGATACAGAAAACAAAAAAATAATTATGGAAATAAGCATAACCGATTATGAACTTTAGCAGGGTCGATTTTCAGCCCAAATAGGTTAAACATAAGTTTACGGCCTTTATTTTTATATAATTCTATTATTTTAAAAAAAAAAATTTGTAAATTTTTGAAAATAGAATATTAGTTTTAAAAAACCAGCTCAAAGGATAAACTATAAGACTTTTGATCTGAGCGATATACAATTGGTGATGTCTATTCTTTGTAACACTTTCCGCTTTTGCCAGTGCATATATATATCGACTAGCCATAAGACAAGCTCACATTATAGGGTACTCACATTCTTTCAGATTGAACATGTACAAACTACAAAGGTTGTTCCTTCGTGTTATGAATAGTTTGAACCAACTCACTCATGTCCACGGCAAACATCATTTCTGTTGTAGAATCAAGAGTTTTAAACTGATATGGATCTGATAAGACAGTTGTTGGAAAAATCGATCAAAAACCCCACATCATAATATTAGTCAGTGAATAACAGTTGTACATAAATATCATCTAACTTAAATTAGTACAGGACTATTTGAAAAATAACTATAAAAAAATTCCATGCGGATTTGATTTAAAACAGATGATATTATACTAGTGGTGAAGTTCACATTGAGAATCCAACAACGGAAAATAAGAATTTTGAACGATGGTTTCACGAGCTATGATCAATAAGATTTACATTATTTTTTTTATTTATTATAATTATAAGTGAACTATGGTCTTGACCAAAAAAAAAAAGTGACCTATATGGTATGGAATGTGACAATGCAACCCACGGGCCACGCAGGCGAGGCTTTCTTACCGAATTCGAAGGTCAGTTACAACAGTGATACCCTACATGCTACATTACGCCACGCGTCGTGAATCGTGATAACCATAATTCCATAGTCAAATGTTGCATTTTTCATTTCTTTTGTGGCTCAGCTTATCCTACGGGCTTTAATCAATGCCCTTTTAAAAGAACATTGTCGACAACAAAAGTACACACACGTTACTTTGTTCGTAAAATAAGAAGCTTGACAGGATATTTTGTTTCTATACGATCAAAGATTTTATGCTCTAATACTTCTTTGATATGAAATAATATACATGGAAATTCGTATTGTGTAAATTAGGTTCAATATACATGGAAATCGACTGTTAATCAAATAAAATATTTTTCAAACTAATATTGGTTTACATAGAAAATTGTTGTGTGTACCTTTATATTCGAGTATGTAGTTTTTTATAACTTGAAAAGTTTTTTGAGAAAATTTACAAAAAGGGTTGATTATAAAACAAAAAAAAAACAGTGTTTCTCTGCCGTCAAAAAAAAAAAGGGCTTAGCGTTTCTCTTTTCCTATATAATTAAATCTTCTAACTTTTTTCAATGATAAAAGGTGGGAAAGCTATCATATCTATTTGATTGGGTCGTATCGTGGTTGTTCGTGTCGATTTGTCATTATTATCACATCCTCTAGTCTAAATGATATTGTGAACCTCTAGCATCAAGAAGTGCGAATCATCAAAATATGATATGAGTTTGTTGATATAATTTATTAAAGAGATTAGACTATGTGTATTAGTAGTTTCTCACCAAGTTTTTAGAATCGATTCTATATCATTAAATTAATTTAAGAGTATTAAAATATATTTAAGAATCTCAATATATAATGCACCATTGTGGGTGCTCTGATAGGTCTAACGAATTTAAATGGTCTCTAATATTAAATGCGCTCAGGCAGATTGGAGATGTACTTTATTGGATATATCGAGGAGGTAGGTGTCGGTTATTGGCAGTTGGACCACGTCACCGACACGTGGCATACAATGTCCTTTTCATCGGTTTTTTAACGTAAGAGACTTGTGGGTCCTATCATTCTGCTGACCTACTGACAGTCGATTGTTAAGCTTTTAACCGTACGGTACTGGGTCCTACTTATGACTCATCACACAGCTCTGTGTGGACATATCCTCTTGTTTCTGTATTTTAATTATCCCTTTCTTTAATTTGTTTCGTTTTCAATTTCTTCGTTAATCCACCAGATATATGAACTTCAAAATACTAGTGAAACTTGGTCCCATCCCATCACCTTAAACAACAATATATGTAACAAAATTTGATGTTTTAACAGGCTGAAATCCGCAACATACATATGGGCTCACGTAGCAATACTTATATATATATATATATAATCATGAATATTTTCGTTTTAGTCAATGTTGTAATACGTAATTTATCCACTAATAATGTTTCACAACTATAAAAAGGAGCCGTGTCAATGTCGTGTTAATGAATGATTGCTTCGTCACATGAGAATCTTTTTAAGGGTGTGGGAAATATTTGATGTGTTTTACTACGGTCGGCACACGCAAAAGTTTATTTTGAATTTTATTTGGTTTTTGTATGTCAATAAGATCAAAAAAGCAAACTAAAATTAATTAATAACGTCTGCCATCGAACTGAAGAACTCTCTTCGCACTCTCAATTGTTACTTAATTATCACCGTTCATTATAATTAGTGTTTGGCAAAGTTTCATCAATGTTTGCTAGTTTAAATAGTTTTGATGTAAGCTTGGTCTGATAAATGATTTCGGGAGATCGATTTGGTCAATGATTTTGAGAGAACGATGTCTCTAATACTACGTCCAATTGTTGCAGTGTCTATGTTCATGTTTATGTTGTGCTATTTCACATCACATGATGAGTTCAATTCCAACCACATTAGGATTCGTCGTCTTATTATTGTGAGTTAGATTAAATTTACCAGACCTCTAAAAATAATAATAATTATAGTACACTGTATGTTGGTACTATTGAAAAGTCCACCCCCTTTTTTTGTGTGTGTCGGCAAACCTTAATTCTTAGCCACTCAACATATCTGAAAGTCTTTTCCTTTTGCACGAAAAGAATGATTTTAGGAGCTTTTACAATAACAAAATTATATTATTGGAGTCGTATAAGAGCCACTGTATGTCTACTCTTAATGTTCCTCCACATGATACTATATGCATGCACAACACATTACCACCACATGTGATGTTATACAATATGACTTTCTTTTTGTGGACGATGTGTCGGAAGTTGGGCCTAGTGGCTAAGTAGCCTATCTCCATAAAAACGTTGAATCAGAAAACAAGCAAGCCCAATTAATTGGACTGGTGCATATAACCCAAAACCCGAGGCCTGGTCATGGAGAATAGTCGGTGCTTTGTGCAGTCCGAATAGTTTGTAGATGAAGAGTCAGAGTCTTGCATGTCGAAGATGCTGCAACATATTAGAGGAAATTGGAGAGAAAAGAGAACCAACTGAACATATCTAGTGATTTTTTTGCTTTGTTTTGTCGAATATCATTTATTTAATCATTTTAATCATATCTAGTAATTGTAATTCAAGGTTTGATGTATAAAGTCATGGACATGTGTCAACGGCGCGATGACGTGGCACTTATTATATATATATATAGACCTAACTAACTTGTATTTGTATCTGAAGTAACAATGGCGTCTATGACCGAGCTTTCGCAGGATTTGGTAGAGGAGATACTGTGTAGAGTTCCGATAACTTCTCTAAGAGGTGTTAGATCCACTTGCGCTTTGTCCCAAAATCGGATTTTATGTAAAACAGAAGCAAGGCACGATCAGTTTCTAGGGTTCACGTTGAGAGATTCTAGGGTTTCCTCAGTGAGATTCAACCTCCATGGAATCCTGAACGAAGGCGGTGAAGAATTCGTAAAACCATCTATCAAAGAGATCGGTAACTCATCACTTGATCAAGTCGAGGTATCTAATGTTTTTCACTGCGACGGCTTATTGTTATGCGTCACACGGAACAACACTGGCCTCGCGGTTTGGAACCCGTATTTAGGGCAAACCAGGTGGATCCCACTGAGAAAAGCTAACAACTTACTCGAAAGCTATGCTATTGGATACGACAAGAGCAGTAAACGTAACCACAAGATCTTGAGAATCTTGGGTGGTTTTCCCGAAGATGTTAACCAAACGACTGTGGAGTACGAAATCTACGATTTGAGCTCGGATTCATGGAAGGTTCTTGATATCACTCTGGACAGAGATATAGATTACTTGCGCGGTGGCGTGTTGTTGAAGGGAGATGCTTACTTTTTAAGTAAAGACAAAAACCTACCGGAAAGAGGAGTTTGGTTTGACGAGGAGCAAAACTATGATTCCTTAGTCTGTTTTGATTTTACAGCAGAGAGCTTTGGAAAGCTTATCCCTCTTCCGTTTGAGCGCCGTAATGGGCATATTGGGTCTCTGTCTTGTTTTAGAGACGAGAAACTCGCGACGTTATATTTCAATGTGGTTACGTTTGAGTTTGTGATTTGGGTTACAACCAAGGTTCAGCCCGATGCTGCGTCGTGGGTTAACTTCTTGAAGCTTGAAACAAGAGGTGCAATGAAAATTGATTGTGGATTTTTGGATAGCAGTTTCTTCATTGACGAGGAGAAGAAAGTAGCTGTGGTTTTTTACTTAAATCGTAAAAAAACTACATTGACCACGATCAGCTGCAACACAAGTGCGTACGTCATTGAAGAGAATGGATACTTGAAAGAAATGAAACTTGGAAAAAGTTGTCTCCCACGTGCGTGCTCTAGCTGCTATCTTCCAAGTTTAGTGCAAATCAACCAAACTGCACGAGGCAAAAGGAAAAGAGAAGAAGGAGATGATGAAGAACAAGAGTATGCAAAAGATAAGTAGAAGATTATTCACTCAGCCCCCTCTTTTTTTTTGATATAATATATATCTTACTGCATTTCTTTTCATTCTTTCTTTTTATTTGCAATGTTCTTTGACACGAATATTATTGTGTTTCTATTTACTTCTTTGCTCTTTTCTTCAATTTCTCTGGATAAATTTTCATATTTACATTCATGAAACCGTAGGAAACACAACGCTTATTAGTTCTTATCTGTACCATTCCGATCATACTTATTTTACTTTTTGAAACAAATATTGCAATTTGAGTTCTCTGAATCCTTATAAAAAAGAAACAAGTAAATGATATAAGATACAAACATAGACGATTTACATTACAATTAGATGTAGAAGAAGATACACAACTTAACTTCAGAATCATTTCATACAAAAATTTACATCTACGAGAAAAGTTCTTCTCCAAAATTTCTCAAAACAAAACAACATCAGGCTTTTTTTTGTGTGTTTATTTGTTCGTTCCATTAATAAAACAAGTGAATTGGTTGTTCAAATGTCTTCGATTAAGTTTAGCAAATTTTCCATATTCTCAATGGGTTTGACACATTCGTGTTCGATACTGCACAGGAGGATGATGAAGTCTGTAGTCAAACTCATTAGCCAAAAAAATTATGTGATAGGCTCTCACATATGCATCATATGTTCCAATATCCGTAGCCCTTTACTTTAACATTATGTATAAACATATGCATCTTTTGTAATTTTTTTATAGACATACACATCCACATTGTGCTGAACGTTTGAAGCAAAATGCGCAATAAACTGGAGAGTCTCTCTAAATTAGGCTGGTGTCCACCAAACTCATTTGTTCCTTGTGGATCATCAATACATAGAGAGAGAGAGAGAGAGAATGGATTATTCAAGCCTTCTTAGCTCTTTTAATTGAAGCTTTATTGATTGCATCAGAGATCTCTCTCCGTCTTTTCGCATTGTTCTTGTTCATCTCTCCAGCATTGTTATTGTTTTGAGCGTTTGCTCCACCAGTGCTCTTGTTAGCTGCTTTCAAAGCTTCTTGCACAAACACCTTCAGTCTCCACAAAGTAACATCAGTCTGTTCACACACACACACAAGATCAAGACCGTTTTTTAACCGAAATTCTGTTGCGGAAACCACAAGAAAGAAGCTTATAGATCAAGGATGATTTGGTGTTTACCTGAACATCGATGTCAAGCTCGACTTCTGGTGCTCCAGCCGGGAAACTCGGGTTGCTCTCTGAAACCATCTTTAGAGCCTTAGAGAGATCCTCAGGAGAGAGACGACCTAGAGCTGCAGAAAGCCCCTTCTTTTCTTGAGTAGACAGTTTTCTGTTCATTTCAGAATCAAACGAAAAAACTCGGTTAAGAATCTTCACTGAGTGTAAAATGATTTAACACAAGAGACTAGTTGAACCTGCATCTCTGAACTACTGTTTCCCTGAGTCTCTCGAGCTGCAGATCGATCTCATACAACTAAAGATACGAGCAAAAAGAAAAATCATCAAACCGGAGCTACTAAGAATCAATGGCCTGAAACAGAGCAAAAACTAAAAAGATAGTTTTGAGGTTGCTTACTTCGTTGCTTAAATCCCTAGCCTTGTCTGCTTGAGCAGCCTCCAGAGCAAGATGCTTATTCGCACGCTCCTGAGCTTCTTCCTCTGCTTGTTTCTTTTCCTGTTTATACCATACCATTTTAACACACCACTGGTATTACAAAGACGAATACTTTGGAATATGGAACGTTTCGTGTACCTCTTCGACGAGTTTAGGCATTATGGTAAGCCATTTCTCCTCGAACTTCTCCAACAGAGATTCAGCCATCACATAGACATCATCTTTTTCTTCGTTATACTTCATCGCGTTCTTGAAAACTAGCCTTACATCAGCGTATATCTCCCGGACATTGCTATACTCCGAGCCATCCATTTTAGTTTTGATAGTTCCCAAATCCATTGGCTTCTCTATAACCTGTTCAAGTGACTCACAGAAGCTATCAAGAACCATCCATGGAAGCCTGGACTTCGATTATTTTACCGTAATTCAATCAGGCCCACAAAGTAGAAGAGCAAGGTATAAAAATCCTGACCTTGTGATAATCATCGAGTCCAAGTCCTTTAACATCAACAGGTTCCAGAAACGGCCATGCCCATTTTTGTTGAGCAATCTAAAAGAGGTAAAAGAAAACTGAGTAAACAGAACAATTTTCGCAAACTAAGGAAGCCCTTAAACAAAGCAGTCCAAGATCCAGGCATTCGAATTTTTTCATCATTATCAGAAAATCTTGTCACAAAAAAGAAAAGAAAAAAAGGGTTTTCATTTCTTTCATGCTTGCCTGACGAATAATTGTTGCAAATTGACGCATAAGTTCAGGGCTTGAAACATGTTTTCCCTTTGATTTTTCTTTCCCGGCTGAGTTACATTTGGAGTTGTTTGGCTGAGAAATAGCAACTTTTTTCCCGCCTGAGTTACTCTTTGAAGTATTTGTTTGAGCTGCTCCATCTTTGGTAGAGTAAAACTGTTCAACCTCCACAACTTTTTGCTCGAGCTGCATTCCAATATAAGCGGTAAGAGACTCGGAGAATTAACAAAACGTAGTGACGATGATGCCAAGTGAAATCAATCGTCACCTGAGTCACTCTCTCAGTTATAACATCTACGCAAGTCCCGAAATCCTCAAGCTCACTTTCTCCATTTCCATTGTAAACTACAAGCTCTGAATTCTCGGCATCGCAGTTTGGCACAAGCAACGGTTCCTCCTAAACAAATGACAGAAACTGATCAAAACAACACAACCTTCCATGTTGAGTTAAGCTAAAATCTAAAAGATCAAGCGTAATTTATCAGCTTCAACCTCCAGGGCTAACATTATCCGATGAATTGCATATCTTTACAAATAATTCTAGCTGGAAAATTTGAGTCGCTATACCATTCTAGTTACTTATTAGTGTCTAAATTGAATAAAGTTGGAGACGTTATGACTACCATAAATCTAAAAAGAGGTGATTTCTCCAGAAAAATAGCATAGTTAGCTTATCAGACGGAACCAAAGGTAAGCCAAAATCAATCCATAAGACAGTATGGTATTGAATCGAAACATAAAAATGAAAAAGAAACAGAGGCTGCAGCTGTATGAGGGAAGTCAAATTATGTACCTTCACATTAACGGACATTGGAGAAGGTTATTACTGACTCAGGAGAGCTTTTTGACGGATCAGGAGACAGACTGGTCGGAGCAAGGAGAAGATGGAAAAGAAATTAGCAAACCCTTTTTTTGTTCATTTTTTTCCCTTTTTCCCGGTTTAGGGTTTATAACGATATAAGGCTTTCATAATATGGGCTTTTATGTTCGGCCCATTAATCAGTTAAAGCATTTTGCTGCTTCTCTTTTTTTTTTTTTTTTTGTTATCAACGTTTGTTGTTACTTCCATTTTTTCTCATTTTTCAATAATCATATACTAGTAAATTTATTATTTTTCAATTGGCTCAACTTTATATGATAGTGAAAAAAATGACTTTTACCACAGTAAATTCTTTTGGCAACATTTCTTTCTCCTTCTTGCCAAGAACTGAACATGAATGATGCAACAAAAAAAAAACGTTTCTTATTAATTCTCAAATCATTTTTCTATTACCTTTCATAATTGATTTGATTATCCTCACGGGTACTTCACACAATTCACGTAACACTGATAAGAAGAAGCTAATGGTCAAAATGAGGAGACACTGATAGAGTATATTCAAATATTATCATGTAGTATATTCAAATGTTTATCATGTATCATCTTCTTCACACCGCCTCTGTATTAAAACCCCAACATGTTAGTCACTACTTCTCCACGCCGCCATAGACGTGCTTTCCACTCCTTCACCATTTATATATATATATATATATATATATATATATATATATATATATTCGGAGAATTCCAAGTTTCTAACCCAACCCTAAAAATCTCACCTTTTTTATTTACCAACAGAAAAATCTCATCTTTTTCGCTCACCATCTTTAGTATATTGTCTTGTTATGTCTCCTCCAGCGTTGATTGTGTTTGAAGATAGTTTAAGTCAGAAATGGAGCAACGACGAGTGGCAGGGTCTCAGCGTTTTTCCCGGAGAAAACCCTAACCCTAATTTCAATTTCTTGCTGAAGAATGCGGCTCTGCAGAACCAGCTGACCGTTTCCCCGATTCTCTCCCGCCCATCGGTGAAAGACGAAAGCTTCAGAATGGTCTTACCTCTGGATATGTCTCCACCAAGAGATAAAGCTGTACCGCTTCCTGTTCTTCCCCAGCCAATGATGAAACCACGGAAGAAGCTTATCCACCAAGAATCCATGCTTAAAACTAGGTCTAGGTATTCTGAAAAAATCCTCTACCAAGAAGAAGAAAAAGAGGACGATTTCAAGTGCAATGCCTTCTGTTTATCTCTCCCTGGTTTTGGGAAGCAGAAACCTATGAGGTCACCAAAAAGCGAGGATTCTTCTATAAAGAAGAAAATGATCAAAGCGTCATCGTTCTCAAACTCCAATGTCTCGCTAAGTGCCTCCTTCGAAAAATTCGAGTGTGGCTCATGGGCTTCAACTACGGCTCAAGCCAAAGAAAACGGCCGACTGTACTTCGATCTGCCGGTCGAGATGATCAAATGTGGAGGTGGAGGCGGCGGAGATGTGCAAGAACCGGTGAGTTCGGGTTTCTTCTTCGACAAGGATGCAGGAGGTGTAGCTTTGAGAAGCGTTCTAAAGACAAGAAGTTCTCTGTCGGGGAGACAACAGAGGGGCTCGGCGGAGACGTCACCGCAACGCCGTGTCAGATTCTCGACCACAACATCGGTTTCATGCCCGAACTCACCTCGATCATGTATCACCCCACGGCTGCTTAAAGCTAGAGACGACTTCAATACGTTCTTAGCGGCACAGAACGAGTGAAACAAAACAAAAACGGAGCAATGAGACTTTACAATAATATATGGTCGTATCTACGAATAATCGTTATGTATATATATCAAGGGAGATAGAATGTGTGCCGTCTTTTTAGACTTGAGGTCTCTGCGTAACCAAATCGATGAAGGATATTTATGATTACGAGCATTGGAAAAACATCAAATTTTCATCGTTGCTTCAAACAATTATGCTATGTTTTGTTTTGCTCTGCTTTCGGCTTAATTTTCCATTTATAAATGAACGCTCAGTGAAATATGTTTGTAGTTCCTTAGATAATTATAAACCTTTGTCTTGTTTCATCTTCCCATCATCTCATCAAACATTAAGCTCTGTTTTTGACATTAGTCCTTTCTTTTCTAATGAAAAAGTGAAAGACTGTACTGTTATATTTTCGGTCATTGTTTTTTAGATTTGTACATACTAAAATATATAAAACAAACGGTAAACGCTAAATAAATACTAAACCTCGTACAAACTTGATGGAAGGAAAGTGAAAGTGAAAGTGAATGACATTAGTCCTTTATTTTTTGTGTATTTTACTAAACATTCTTCTTCTTTTTATTTGAAGACTACTCTTTTATAATTACACCGACCACATTAGCTTTTTTTTGTAAAGACATACTTACACTCACTTTTTCTTTCCAGATTTGTTTGTGACTCATCTGGGTGATGGAGTATTAACATAAGTGTGGCTTAAGGATAATATTATGATTAGTCCTAAAATGAAAGCTTATCCATAAGCCGGGTCGTTTAATCGGTAAAATCCAAAACAGTACAAGTCATTCTTTTACTTGTGAAGACCAAAACATTTCATTGAACTAAACGAACTCAACCTCCGAAAAACTTGACAAAAGTTTAGAAACAACATGAGAAAAAAACTTCATGAGGCTCATGGGCCACGCGAATCGGCCCGTATAAAATCAACCTCAACCACAAGTAAGAAGAGAGATTCGACCTAAACCTAGTTCCATCTTTCACCGTGTCAATCACGAATCACGAATTACGTTCTAGATCTTTACTACGATCTTGAATCTGTGGGGGTTTCAGGATAGTAAATAAATAAGAGATGGTGCACAACAAGGAGGAGAAATTTATAGTAAATAAATAGGAGTGATGCATATTTACCAATGTTGGGCTTTTGTCTTGTTCGCTATAAGACTTTTGCGTACTCGACACGTTTTGCTCTATTTCCTTTTCTCTGTTTTTCCTTTACTCGATTAGTTTTTAGAGATACATCTTTATCTCATTCGTATGCTATATATTAAGGATCTAAGACTTTTGTAAAAATCACCTTTTGATTTTAACATTGATTAATAATAAGAGCTTTTGCAAGTACTGCTAAGAGTATTCGCTTATCTCCTTGATCTAGTAATCTCTGGATTCCTAGAACAAGAACCCGAGCTTAAGACGTCGTATTCCTGGAATACTAATCTCAAGTTCCTTATTCGCTTCCGCCTCTCTTTCAGTTCTAGTTTTTTACTACGATCTTGAATATGTGGGGGTTTCAGGATAGTAAATAAATAGGAGATGATGCACAACAAGGAGGAGAAATTGTTGGTGTTGTGGGACATCAACGGCTGTCCGATTCCGGATGGTTTCGATCCTCGTCTGGTCGGACCGAGAATAGAATCGGCGTTGAAGAAGTCAGGCTACTCTGGTCCTCTCACAATCACTGCCATTGGCGACCTAAGACGGACCCCTATCACCCCTAGTGACAAGGTCCTGCGAGTGCTTTCTTCCACTGGCATCGCTCTTAGACATGGCTACGGTTAGTCTTCTTTCAACAATCTTAGTTCAAGTAATTGATTTTTTTAAATAAAAGGTTAGGGGTTTTAGATTCAGCGACGTTGCTTTCCTTTTATGAAAACAGACATTCTACCGACTTTGTTGGAATGGAACGATCATAATCCATGTGCTACTATAATGATCATTGCCGCTCATCATCTTCTGCAATCAATAGCTGGTACACTTTCCTGCATAGAGAGAACATGCAAATTGCTTCAACGAGATCCATCACTCTGGAAAAGCTCTCTGCTTGGGGTTCCTGAAGGTGTTTGTCCTCTCTCTCTCTCTCTCTCACAGTCTAGATCTTTAAATCGGAATAACCACAAAAGCTGCTGCTTTCTCACACAAGTGTTATTCTTTTTCCACAGGTGATAATAAACAGGAGACACACCAATACTTGTTCTTCCGGACTTTTATGTGTCTTCCTGGTATTGCTCAGTATGCAGGTATGCTGCCCAAAGCTTTGACGATCTCACCACGCATCTCAAGAGTGTAGGACATGCAGATGAAGTAAGCATCTCTCTCTCTCTCTGCCTCTAAATATTTGAATCAGTCCCTTTGTCATTGTCTTATTTCCACAATTGTTTGTCGAGCAGGAGTGGGCCCGCCTGGCTAGCCGCCAGCATCGGAGTCCTTTTTATTTTAAGCCTGGGCCTCCAAACAATGACCCTGATACCATCTAAGCAAGCTTTTTTTGAAAATTTGCACTAGTTGACCCCTTCCACACGTTGTTACCTAATTGCAAAAGTTTCCTTTTCATTGAAAACACCTCTCTCTGATTTCCACTTTGGCTGTCAAGCAGGAGTGGGAATCTCTGTACACAGAAGAGACGAATACATGGCTAACCGTATTACCTCGAGTTGAGTATATATTTTTTTTTTTTTTTTGGAATTCACAATTGCGTTCAGTAGATAGCTGACTTTGTTTGATGCTAAAACATTGAAGGAAACCTCCCTTAAATACAAGAGAATGATGGACAACAAAGTGACGCACAAGGAGAATAAAACGTTTGTGTTTTGGCACATCAACTACTGTCCGATTCCCGATGGTTATACTCCTCGCATGGTCCGTCGGAGAACTGAATCTGCGGTTAAGAATTCAGGCTTCTCTGGTTCTGTGACCATCACTGAACTGGCGACCTAACAAAGACACTCCGGAAACAGCTCTCTACCGCTGGAATCGCGGTTTTGGATTCCCGCGATACCTGCCATTCTAAATATAATGCCCTCGGTTAATCTCTTTCTTTAACTTTCAGTACACGTATTTGTTTTTTTCTTTCTTGATTAGGGTTTAGATTCAGCGACGCTGTTTTGAAACAGATGCTGAAGCGGAATTGTATGAGTGGGCCAAAAAGAATCCATCTCCGGCTACTATAATGGTTATAACCGGTCCTTCTCCACTGAAATACTTATCTCCTCCACTTCACGACCTACACAAAGAGGGATACACAATCCTTCTGGCATATCCTCAACGAGATCCTGCTCCAGACTGGCTCTGGATAGGCTTTTTGCCTATTGTTCAACGAGAGTGGCTCTGGAAGAGCTTACTAGAAGGTGTTTGTCCTCTCTCTCTAGATCTTGAAATTGAAATCACCAGCAAAGCTGCTGTTTCTCACACAAGTGTTACTTTTTTCTCCACAGGTGCAATGGACTCGGGGACTGTAGAAAATAAACAGGAGACACCAAGACTTGTTCTTTCACCCTGGTATTGCCCAGTATGCCTTTTTTTTGCTCAAAGCTTTGAAGATCTCACCACGCACGTCAAGAGTGTAAACCATGTATTTTCTGTAAGCATCTCTCTCTGCTTCTAACTATTGTGTCAATACTACATTTGTCATTGTCTGATTATGTGCATAAATTGGTTGTCAAGCAGGATTGGGACCCCTATTTTAGTATTCTAGGTTCGAATCCTTTTGAAGTTATTAAGCCGCCTGAGCCTCCAAAGGATGACCCTGATACCATAAAGGCAAGCTTTGATATCTCAAATTGAGATTTTTTTTTTTCATCTGACTTTGTTTGATGCTTCAAACATTTATGCTCTGTTTTCGGCTTGATTCTCCCTTTATATATGAACGTTCAGTGAAATATGTTTGTAGTTTCTTAGATTAAAGTCCTTACCTATTCAAATTGATTAAGGATTATTATGAGTATGAGGAGCCTTTGTCTTGTTTCATCTCCCCATCATCTCATCAAAAACTTTAAGCTCTGTTTTTGACATTAGTCTCCTTTCCTTTAAATGGAAAAATGAAGTACTGTTATATTTTCCGTCGTTGTTTTTTTAGATTTGTACATACTAAAATATATAAAACAAACGGTAAACGCTAAATAAATACTAAACCTCGTACAAACTTGATGGAAGGAAAGTGAAAGGCATCTTTACAAGAAGAAAACTTCAACGTCAAGAAAAGAGGTTTGGTCATTCACCTATAAAGAACATACTGTATATATGAATCTCGGTCGCAGATCCAAAACGCAAACGCGCTCCAGTCAAACTTGAAAGCAAACAAAGGAAGCAAAAAACAAATTATACAAACAAACAAAAAAAGTTTAGTGTGTAAGGTTAAGTGAATATCATAGCAATTAGCATTTTTTGAGCCGTTAGTTTTATTAGTTTTAGGTTCTTGAATCAACGAAGACGCGAACAACGTCCAGGATCTTAGCATGACAAATCGGGCATTTCCCGCCATTACATTGTAGTTCGTTTGCGCATCTCAGGCATGTGCACATGTGCCCGCACCTACATACATTAAACGCAATCGTCATTTTGTATAACTATAAACAACATCAAAACCTGAAAAAGGCCGAACCGAAAACCTTTTTGAAATCGCCATCGATAGGTTTTCTTACCTGTATAGAAGTGTTTCAACTTGCGTTTCGTTACAAACGCAGCAATTGCGTTTCAGGGGGTTTTCCCGGTGAACTGACTTTTGAAGGCTAGCGTTAACGTCCAAACACGTTTTGACAGAGTCTCGTAGCTCTGACATATCTAATTGGAGCTGTAAAATCTGTGATCTCAAATCGCTTATAATCTCCATCTCCTGCAACATTTCCATGAAATCTAAATGCTAATCTCACCAAAACGAATTTTTTTTTCTTTTCGATATTTCAACAAGAACAGAGGAGGCTCACTGTGGTATGAAGATTGCTTATGGGTGTGGAAGCAACTCCTGTGTCTTGAGAACTCCATGATCCTATAGGTGACGGCACAAATATCTGAGATGACGTTTGGCTCAAGTCATCTCTGACTTCATCTTCTTCCTCGCCTATGTCACATTTCTGTTCCTCTTTACCAGCTTCCTCAATCCGCTGAACCGGATGTGTCTGAACACGGGACATTATGAGCTTATCTATCTTCTCTCTCAATCCACTCTGGAGGAAATCGGAAACCGTTTTTCTGTATGATCAAGATTCAAGAGAGCCGATTTTAGGATATTAAATGATAATGTTGAATGAAGAAAGAAGAATTTTCTTTTGATTTGGGTTTACCTCTCAAGGAGTCTCCATATATCATCTTTGTCAGATCGAGTGTTCATTACTTCCAGATACCGTGACTTCCTCAGATCTTCCCAATAAGTCCGAGGCCGAGATATTTCTGTAAACCAGTCGTTTTCTCCGTAATAAGACTGTTCATCCTCGTACTCTTCTTGCTCTTCCCATTCGAACGACGTTTCTTTTTCCTCAAGAAACGGTGTTTCTCGAGTTCCCTGTGTATTGCTTTCTGCCATGTTCGCGACCTCGTTCTCCAGTTTTTGTGGTTCTTGATGAGTTACGCTGGTGGTGGGGAGAGTTCTTTTCAAAGCTTCTGCTACGATGGTTTCTTGCAGCTGAAGGTAAATCATCTTTGATTCGGTTTCTTTCTTGCGTAAAACTGCTTCCTCTATCTTGCGGTTTCGAGGGCTTAACGGCTCCGGCGAAGAAGTTTTTAGAAGAATACTAGCTTCTTTTGACTGCATGCTCTCTGTACTTCTCTCTGTTTCTACGGTGGTTTGTTGACCTTTCTTCCGTTCTGCTTCAGAGGCGGAGTTTGCTGCGTTTTCCCGGAACTTTTCCCTGCGCAACGATTTAAAGATTGAGAGATCAGCATTATAATTTCCGAGATTCGAACTCATGAACTTGTAAGAAGAGAAAACAGAGGTTCTTGGTCATACCTTAGGCGGAGAACTGTGGAGCCAGGTTCGAGGCGATTCATATCATGTGTCTTTGAGCTGGAACGATGACGATCTTTAATCACTAGGCCGCGTTTGAGACTCCATAGCCGCAACATTGACTGTGTTAACAAGGAAAAGCTATAGAGATTTAAACACTGAAAAACTGGGTTAATTTTGTAACTAAATAAAGTTATGAGCTGTTTGTGTAAATAATGTCGAAATATTGAGTAATTTCTATCAAAAAATGCAAGTACCTGGAGACGACCACGTTGAGGAAACCTAGTAACTGCGTTGCGTTCATGAAGCGACTGCAGTTCGCGGTGGCGGTCGCGTTCCAGACGCGTGAGCAAATCGGAGAACGCTTGCCGTCCTCGGAGTCGCGGCGAACAAGTGACCACCGGGAAACTGCTTTTCACCAGCATCTGCGTTTTTACGACCGGCATGTCGGTGGCGCCGTCATTATCGCCGGCGGTTAGCTTCAGTCTCCGGATAATTTCAGCGACTCCGCCCCATTCGCTCTCTCCGGTATCAGAAACCAAATTGAGACCCCCGGATTTAATCTCCACCGTAAGGTCAGGATTCTTCGATTCGTTCTCTGATTCGGAATCTCCGTCGATGGATGGAGCCGAGAGGTGTGTTTGTGTTTCTTCTTGAACGCACGCTCCTAAACTGCTCTCCGTCAATTGGCCGTGGATCGGCGAGTTTCCGCCGTTGGATCGATTCAGCCTCGCCTCCCATATCTGCACAAGAGAAGAAGCTCCTACAGGATTTTCGTCTCTCTTCCAAGGTTTCGGGCTGTTCCCTTTTCTGGTCCGTGGTTTCTCCGGCGACCCAATACGGCTTTTGATCTTCTTCTTCGGTTTGTTTCCGATCCAAGAATCGACTCTGTTCTGCAAATTCTCGTCGGAGATCGCCGCAGATTTCACTTGAGCTTTCAGATTCTTCTGGAAAACGACGTCGTCATTGCTGTTGTGCCGTTGGTTGCGATCTCTAAGGACACAACCGAAGTTAGTCCGTAAAGAGGCAATTTCTACCTGAGAAGACGCCATTTTTATGCAAACCATCTTCGTCAACGATCATAAAGACGAAAACTAACAATACAGAGACCCATCTTTGATTGGATCTCGATCTTAGGAAATGAAATGAAATAAAAATCAAAACGTTTCTCTCTCTCCAAAGGGGAAGAAGAAAAGAAGAAAAGTTCGTTTTTTTTATTAACTGAAGAAACTAATTTTTCTCGCTGTTTCAACTAAAAACAGAGTAACGAGTGGTGTTAAGACTCGGAAAACAGAAACTCAGTGCAACTGTGTTATGTTTATCTATTTTTAGAATGTTATCTTACAGCGACCAGTAAAAGAAAAGTTGCGAGTCATTCGAACTGATCTGTGTTTATCCTATAAACTTGGAAACGTGTCGGAAAAAGAAAGAATAAAAAACAGAGTGTAAAACAGATTCCGACGAAGACAAGTATGTTGAGGGTCTCGAGGAAGCTTCTAATGTGTGTTTTATACGGGAAATGCATAAAAACTTTCATTTCGGACAATTAAAAATGATTTTCTGAAAGATTTTAGAGTTTGGAAGTGTCAATAAAAGATCATTTAACTTTGCTAGTTAGTAGTACTTAGTAGCAGTTAGTGGTCCTAATTAGAATATTAATGAAGATGAAAGCGTGGAGGGTCCGCAAGCGGAGAGTCCAAAGGAGCCGTTGGCAAATGCTAGATTAACATTTGGACCAACTCTTTATACTAATTAGGTGAGATATATAGTTTGTTTGATCTTCATTCAACATTTTTAATTTGAAAGAATTTCATACCTTTCTATAACAAGATTCAGAGTTTTTTTTTTGTTTTTTTTCTAACTTAAAACTTGTATACTGTTGATTTGTGATTTAAAACTATGACGTATAATGTTTTAACTTTTAGTCTTTTAACGTAGAAGGTTATATAATATTTTTAAATCAGTAACTAATCGATCGTACAAATGTCTGTTTAAGACATCAAAGTAATTAAGATTCGAGGAGAAATAAGATTTCCTTTCGTTTCTGAGTAATAAGAGAAGGTTGGAGTGGAAATAGCAATGCATCTTGCTCAGCAAGCCTAGCTTGGAGTGGGCCAGGGCCGGTTCCTCACTCCGTGCCTCTCACATTGGGAACTTTGCTAATGAATTATTCATTAGGCTTAAATTGTAATGTAAAAATTACCTCTGTGTACACAAGTATATTATTTATATCAACAACCTGACTAACTTATTTATAACGACTTAACAAACCAAATAAAGCAGTCATTATATCCAACACTAATATCTTTTAACATGTTCTTTAGAAAAAGAACCACAAGTTCGACATAACATAGATTTATTGATGAAGAAAGTATGGTGCAATAGACAGAGACTGGACTATACATGTGTTGAATCACGAGGACTGAAACCCCCTTTCTGTCGGAAACCAGTGTTATGCGCAATCTTCAGCGAGACGTAGCCCCCAGAAAGCGTTGTGCAAGCGATTGGTTTCAGTGGAACAAATCGTATGATGCTTACTGAGGAAGGCAGGTAAGCTGTTGTGCTTTCCTGTAATCACACCATGCGTATGGCTCCAAGAGTGGGGCCAAGCGATCAGAAAGAGTATTTGGAGCGATTGTTTCGCTTTGGTGCGGATGTTCCTATAATAGTATTCAACAACGTTTGCTTCTCCATAAGATTCTTATCTACATCAGTTAACACTGTAGAAACAAAACCAGCTACTCTTGCCAACAGTAACCCAGAAAATACACTTCGCTCTCATTAAATGGCGTCTAGATTCATGTACTTTTTTCAGAAATTAACTAAATTGCACATCAGAACATTGTGACCACGACTCTTTATATTCTTGAAAAGTTTGCCAAAATCACTGTCCCCACTAGCCATCACGAAATGAGCCGGTTTATTGTGCAATATAGATCAGGCTTTCGACTTTCCTCTTAGATATTTATGGTGGCTTGTTTGGCTTTTTTCCGATTTTCAAAATGTCCAAAGGACCTTAACGTATGGACCTGTTCCTTTGAAATCCTGTGGTAATTCATAGCAGTAATGGTGTTGTTCTTTGTTCTGTATGATTTGGCCATTGCTTTTCTACTTATGCAACTGTGTGCTTCTTGTGCAAAAAAATAAACAATATAAGGTTGTGGAGTTAAGAAAATAAATCTTATTATTGTTTAAAGGTTTAGATGTTTAAAAATGGCTTAACAATCAAATTTTACCGAGTTTTACCAAACTGAATGTAAAAACACTTAAGAATGTAAACTACAAAGCTTAAACGTTTGGTCTTATTCTTGATTTCAGATGGGATCTTCAAGTTATGAGGGATTATTTATTTATAAAGTTAGGAACTCAGTATTACCAATCTTTCTTTTACTTTCCATTTAGAAAAATCATCTTCTTTTTTTCTTAGAATTTCCTTTATCATCAAAGTTTCCTTTTTTACTGAAGAAATGTAATCAGATAGACTTCATCTTGATGAACTTCATTAATGAGAGAAAGACTTTTAACGAGACTTTTAAGAAATATGCTCAATCCATTTCCAACGCATATTTTTCTAGAACAAGATTAATAGTTTTTTTTGTTTTTTACTAACTCAAAACTTCTATATTGTTAGACATTTGATTTAAGACTATGACGTATAAACTTTTAACGTAGAAAGTTCTATAATATCTTAAAATCATTAACTAATCGTACACATATCTGTTTAAGTCTACCTCCATCGGCAATAATATGCTTTATGTTTTTTATTATTATTTTATTAATATAAATTATTTATTTAATTTATATTTAAAATATGTAAGAAAGAAATTAATAATAAATAGATAAGTGTAATAATAAAAAGAAGAAATCTTTACAATCGTTTCTTAAATAAAAAACTTAAGAAATGAATTAAGTTTCTTTCTCTTTTCTCTTTTATTTTTATTTTTTATCTTAAAATACTTTCTTAACAAATTTCAATGGAAATGCTTTAAAAACATTTACAATGCTATAAATCTTAATATGGTATTTTAAAAAGAGAAATATTAATTTTTAAATTATAAAAAAATCCAAATCAATTATAAAATGCTTTATATTAAATGAGTTTTCTAAAAACTTAAAAAAAAATTATTAAACAAGAAATTTAAAAACTAATCCTTCTTTCTCTCTTTTACTTTTTATTATTTTATTAATTTTTTTTATTAATATACTATATTAAAAAACTTGTATTGGACATGCTCTAAGACTTATTGAAATGGTCACTGACAAATATAAATGAATATTCTAGTCCTTTCCTTCAGAGTTCATAAAGAAATCAAAATTTTCTTAACTCCATAACTCTAGCACTTAATATTTGATTCTACATGCCTGGTTTCGCACATGTACCGCAACGTGTCACGACTGCAAGTCTGCAACCATGCTGACTTAATTTTATTTTCTTACAAAAAAAAAATTATGTTGATCTGATCTGTTAGAGTTCCTTTGAATGAAAAATTTAAGTGCCTCAAAATTATGGTTGCCTTCAACAATTTTGTTGGTTTTCTCACTAATGAACTACACACGTGAAGTGAGTCAAACCAAACCAATTGATTAAACAAAAATCAGATATAAATGATTCTTATATTGTATATGCATAGTAATTATATATGTTTGGGTACAAAATCACGCTCTCAAACTATTGCGGATGAACGGAAGAGCGGTGATATATTTAAGTTGACTGATAATTATGTGAGACTTTTTCTCGCAACTGATGGCAATCTGAACCTTTCAAAGTTTGGTTTGGAGAATCATGGACATTGGTGGGATGTCTTTTTTAAGGACATTTTGACATTCAAACCGTAATAAATCTATGTTACGGTTTGGAGAATCATGGACATTGGTTTAGAGAATCATGGATTGGCTCCAATGATCAACACGTCCGTGATGTGGCGGTAACTTTTGACATTCAAACCGTAACAAATCATGGACATTGGTTTGGAGAATCATGGACATTGGTGTGGATCAATTTTTAGTATTTTATAGTTTATTAGCTTCATGTTTTCAGTAATAATATCTATGTTAAAGCAGCAATTTAATTATTACATGACGACACTATCTCTTCAAGTTTTTGACATATAGAAATTTATTCATGAGTGATATAAAATCTCAGTTTTATTGAATTTCAGAAATGTGATAGATCCGTTTTACAAGAATACGATTGAAAAATATCGTTGTAAATATTAGTTTTAAGTTAAAAATTCGTCGATGATATAGAAATTAACCAAACTATGAACAAGTTTTCATCTCAAAGAAGTTTTATGCACCAACATGCAATATACCCTGGCCACAATTAACCGAGATGCCACGGTCGTCATCCTCCAGTTTTACCAACTAAATTGCTTACAACTGCAAATACTAGTTTCATCTACATCAAAAGGCTAAAGAGTTTTCATTATACATTGCGATGTCACCACACAGTTTGAGACGTCACAACATTTTTTCCCCAGAATAATAGTATATCTATCATCATTCAGAATATATATTTCATTTCTATTTTTAAGTAATACACAAATTCTTTAGAATAATTCTCTTTTGTTCTATCACCATAGATTTTTGTGTGTAAAACATCATTAACAATTCTTGTTATAAAAGCTCAATCTTTTTGTCAAAAAATACATTAATTAAAACAGAAAATGTCGTTTACATAACTCAAAACTATATGCATGTCAAAAAGATACATTAATTAAAACAGAACATGTCTTTTACATAACTCAAAACTATATGCATTGTTATGCAATAAAAAAATAGATGATATCAGCTGTATAAATTTTGAAGTTTTCAAATGGTTTTGTAATATATACACACATTTGTAATATACACACATAAAACGGCTTTGTAAAGTTCTCTCTCTCTTTCTCTCGTGTATTTGATTTGATTTTTACCCAAATTAGGAGAGAGTATACTTGGGAAGACCAACAAAATCTTTTGACTAGTGACATGAAAAATATCTAAATAAGAGCATGACATAGTTAAATCTTGTCATGGAAGAGACTCTTTGTCTTTTGTGGCTAATTTTCCGCAAATTTTTTTTTTCTCTCATTCTCCTTTTCTTCACCCCCTTTCCCTTTCTTTTTTGATTTTTTTTCTTGTTGGTTAATTAGAATCTTAATATAAGATGAAAACACAAAATATTGTTCGTCGGCTTGTGTTTGTCTCCGACACCTCTAAATTAATTGGTCAAATGTGTCTTTCCCCGTCAAAGTTGATAGCCTTCACTTCAGTTTACCACAGAATCAAACCTTTACGATAAATTTTCTATAGTTCTTAGAGTAATCTTGTAAATGTGTCATTTTCAAAATATATATATATATATATATATTGTAAATGTAAATTATAAATATTTTCAAGCAGAAATTACTTCTGAACGTTTTAAAAAAAAATCTGGCGTCATATTTAAATGCTGTCATCCCTTTGATTTATC